CAGTCGCAAAGCACACACTCTTTTTGGAATTTCCCTTATGTATATGACCCATCACTGGGGCTCACACTACAGAAGACTCAATTTCTCTGTACAAATTCCTTCTAAACACATCCAGCATCCTTGTTAACTCCAAAATGGCTACTGCTCTGGAAATCTTTCCTCCCAGATCAAATAGCAGGGAATGGTCTGGATTGTTGTTGTACTGTAATGAAATTAGACTGAAGTGAATATAGCTTAAAATATGCATTCTGAGCGATGTGGAACTGTTTTTCATATTGCTGGCACAGTGGGAGTGAAGTGAAAATGTGATAATGTATGGGGGATGCTCTGAAAATTGTGAAGAGCGACGCAAATGTGAAGTAGATATTTTCCCCCCAAATTGCCAAGAAGCGTTTCCTTTCTGAGGCCAGGCCTTGGCGAATGCCAAGCACACACGATTTGAGATGAGGACTACGGCAGTGATTCTTTGCTTTCTTGCCTCTCACTGCATCCTCTGCCAAGGCCAGAATAGTTAGGAGACGCTTGGCCAGCTGCTGGAAGCAAGTTGAGGACTCTGCTTAGAAAGATGACATCACCCCTCAGACTCAGTTTTCTCTCCAGGGTGACGTCGTCACAGAGTTGTGATGGAGGTGAAATGAAATTTGGTAGGGCAAAGTGCATAAGCGCTGGGGCCATCATAGTAAGTGCTCAACAAATGGGAACTGTTTTTGACCTTTTTTTTTTTTTTGAGACTAAGTCTTGCTCTTGTCCCCCAGGCCAGAGTGCAATGGCATGATCTCGGCTCACTGCAATCTCTGCCTCCCGGGTTCAAGCCATTCTCCTGCCTCGGCCCCCCAAGTAGCTCGGATTACAGGTGCCTGCCACCACGCCCGGCTAATTTTTGTATTTTTTTTAGTTGAGACGGGGTTTCACCATGTTGGCCAGGCTGGTCTCGAGCTCCTGACCTCAGGTGATCCACCTGCCTCTGCCTCTTAAAAGTGCTGGGATTACAGGCGTGAGCCACCACGCCCCGCCAATTGTTGGTCTTATAACCCTCCTCTCACTACTGACAGGGTAGGAAGGGGCCTCTCAGTCCCAGTCACTGGCCCTGGGCCTCAGCTCAGGCCGAAGACTTCCAAGTGGCGGGAAACAGTATTTCTGGGTTGCTGGGAGAGTAGACCGGTCCTAATGCCGCTGTAATCATTAAAAGGGCAATGCAGATGGGCGGCCCGTCAGGGGCTTGAAAACCCATTGCCCTTTTAAGGGGCGTGGCTTCTGGGAAGTGCGTAAAGACCCTCCAGGCAGGGGCGGGACCAGAGGGCTGCGCACGCCAAAGAACAGGGGATACGCAAATATCTATGAATATGCTAATGAGCGTTCGGTTTCCCAGTGAATGATCGGGCACCGCCTGGACTGGCAGAGCGCACTAGGGAAGAGGAAATGAGAGGACCTTGAGATTCAACCGAGTGGCTGAATGGAAACTAACTCCCGATGGAGAATGTGCGACGTTTCTTCCACTGCACCCGGATCTCGAAGCCCCACTGGCACCACCCATCAGTCCCTCCAGTTCCTCACTAGCGGGATGAAGGGGGAGGGCGTGGGAGATTCTTTTGGCTGCGGTAAGAGCTCTGAATTTAGAAGCCAGAAGTTTCTTGCCAGCAGTACTACCTTGTTTCACAGTTGGGGAAACTGAGGCCTGACAGGTTAAGCCCCTTCTCCAAGGTCGCAGTGCTAGAAGCAGAACTCAGTTTGGCAGGTTTTGTCTATTTTTGCTTTGTTTTCCCTACTGCACATGGGCACCACTCTGGAGGTGAAAAGGCAGCAGCCTCAAAGGCAGAAGAGCTTGGTACATTACCAAACGTGTTGGACTGCCCACCACGCTGGAGGTTTTAGAAAATATGTCCTAGGGAAAGATGGAAGGAGTCGGGGTGGCCGCCAGTAGAAGCAAGCAAGGACAAATTACCATAGACTTGTCTGGAATGTGTTGCTATAAAAAAGGTGATGAAGTGTTCCAGCTTCCCAGAGATCCGGTGCAGTGGAAATGAACAGGGAACAGAAGAGATTAGGGTTAGATTTAAGGCAGTACTTTCTCCCAGGGATGATAATGGGGCCCTTTATTCAGTGACCAAGGCAGGCAAGGGACTGATCCCCCTCCCACTTCTGAGGCCTTTGGGAATCCATCTCCCTCCAGTCCCACATGGCCTGCTTGGAGGTCAGGAACGAATTGAATGACTTTGAAAAGTCCCCACTATTCAGGTAGGTGATCCTTTCCCTGGATGGGCCTCCTGGGCTCTTTGCTGAGGGTAAGGACAGCAGCCGCTCTGGCTCCAGGGCCCTGGGGGAGAAACAGCAGTCATGGCATCTCTTGCAACACGCTCCCTGCCAAATTGATTCAAATTGGCTTGGATATGAACATATGATTAAAGGAGCGGTGCGATTCATTTATCAGGAGAGATTAAAGAGCAGCATCTGCGCAGCCTAGCTGGGGGACAATTAAGGAGCAAATTGCTAAGTGTCTGTGCCACCAGGCAAGGGGGTGGTGGAGGATGGGGGAAGGACAACTGGGATAATCTGCCAAGGAGACACAAAGACAAAAGAAGACCATTTAGGGGTCACTGCCTGCCACTGTTGTTTCTGGGCACAGACTGGGCACCATGGGGAGTCCCACAGGGGCACTGGTTCCCGCCCCTGCCTCTCATTCAGGAGTCAGAGCAATCCCGGGGATCTGCAGTTATAGAGGAGGATCTAGCAGGCTAGCTTTGAGCCTGGCAAAGGGCCAGATTTGCATTCTGCAACATCTTAAGGACCAGGGATACCATGAACATACAGGTAAGGTCAACAGCAGAGCTTTCAAGGTACACCCAAAATAAACATTGGCTTTGGTGGCCCTAAAGGCTCCTGGACTCCTCTGGGGCCAAGGGAATTGTCTCCTTCTCAGCTGAAACTTGGAGAAGCACTGGTCATGTGACAATGCACAGCCAGCCTGTGGCATGTTCTACCACCACCTCTCTTTCCCTGCCCCAGGACCTTTGCTTAAACTCTTCTTCTTCTCAATATGCCTTTCCCAGCAACTCTACCTGTGGAAGTGCTATTTTCAAGTCCCTATCAAAATAGCAGCTCCTTTTAGAGGCTTTCCCAATCCTCCCCGCCAGAGAGAGTATCTCCCTCCATAATAAGTCCAAAGCAACTTCTTTGTCCCTGTTAGGCCTTATGTAATTATTTCCACATGGGTCTGCTCCAGCCCTCATCCACAAATCCCTGGAGGATGGATACTATGATGTGTTCCTCTCTACCTACTCCAAGCTTACACATACTAGCAGGCGCAGCATGTATTTTGTGTCTACCTCCCTCCACTTTATGAAGGAAGGGACCTTACCCATCACCAGCACCCAAAGTAGGGCCTAGGCACAGTAGGCAGTCATGAAATATTTCTCAACTGTTAAGCAAATGAATATGTCTTCTGACTTGAACAAAGCTTTTTACCCCAGGCCGCGTTATTGGAGGTTGATGTTGGAGTTTCCAGTTAACCAGAGGCTTGACTCAGTATGAGTGAACAGATTTGGGCATTCATCTAAAGGTGGCAGGGAGTTTGTCACCCTAGTTCCTAGTAGAAACAGAAAATGTACCACGCTATGTGAAAACAGGAATAAAAGATGAGAGTGACAGAACTGAACATAAGCTAGCAGCCTTTTTAAAATTATTTTTTTGTAAAAAAAAAAAAGGAACTTAGGCCGGGCACAGTGGCTCACGCCTGTAATCCTAGCACTTTGGGAGGCGAGGCAGGCACATCACCTGAGGTCAGGAGTTCGAGACCAGCCTGCCCAACATGGTGAAACCCCGTCTCTATTAAAAATACAAAAATTAGCCGGGCGTGGTGGTACACGTCTGTTAAGTCCCAGCTACTCGGGGGGCTGAGGCAGAAGAATCGCTTGAACCTCGGGAGGTGGAGGTTGCAGTGAGCTGAGATCGCGCCACTACACTCCAGCTTGGGCGACATAGCAAGACTCTGTCTCCAGAAGAAAAAAAAGTAACTTCCCTTTTACTATTGTCTCTATCCTCTTCTCTATTCTATCGTGGGGCAGTGGAGGGGGCAGTCTCCGTTCGAGACGGATCCACTTCACACTCTGTCCCATTCATTTTGGGGGAGACTTTTCTCCCTTCTTCCCTTTTGGACTCTTTCTGGAGGGCTAACATTACCAGAGCCTCGGCACTTGGGATGTTTGCTATCTTTTCCCACCGATCTGTCCAAACTACTTTATTCATTCAGGGATTATAACTGGCCACATTACAGAATGAGAAGGTAGAAGGTAGAAGAGGAGGAGGGGTGTCGTTTGTTTCTTGCCTTTCTGCATGAGCTGCCTCTTAGCTGTCAATGAAGGAACAAAGCACGGAGAGGGGCATGAAGATAGGAACCGAGCAGGGCAGAGACAGCACTCCCAACCTACTCACGTTGCCCTGTGGGCCTGAGCTAGTTCTGCCAAGTTTTGATCAAAAAGTCACCTTTGAAATGGCTAAAATTAAGCTTTTAAAAAATGTTCTAATGAGAAGGGCTTGAATCCAAAAAGAAAGAAAAAGAATGAATGAACGAATGAAAGCGAGAGAAAGAAAAGAAAGAAAAAAAAGAAAGAAGGAGAGAGAGAGAGGAAGAGAAGATAGAATCTCTGTAATTGGTGAGATTTAACAATCAGAGGGATCTCAACATTCCCTTGTGGAGGCCAGGGAGGATGAGGCTTGGAGGCTCTGCTACCCTTGCTAACCTGAATCACAGTCCCTAGGCTCTCCACATAAAAGGTGGGGCTTGTGTCTTCCTTGGCCAATCCCCTCATCCCACTACCTCTCCCTGCCCCAAAATGAGCTGCCCAAGCTCTTTAACTGGCACTGGTCTGACACTTTGGGGAGCAGGCCAGAGACCGGAGTGATGCCCTCACAGTCCCCATCAGAATCCCACCTCTGCCCACTCGCCCCCAGGACCAATCTGGACTTTACCTGAGCCTGAAGGAGCAGGCAGGAAAACTGGCGAAGCCAGGAGGAAAAGGGCCTTTATTTCCATACATCGGGTAAACAGGGGAGAGCACAGCCCAGTGAGTACAAACCAATTGCAGGAGAGAAGAGGGGTGGCAGATGGGAGCAGCACCAGGCACTGCCCTTGGGCTCCCAAGTCTGGTGGAGTTGTTAGGGATAACCTTTTTAGGGTGGGGGCTGGGACCTCCAGACCACATGGTGTTGTGTCTGGGGTAAGTGTGTGGGGGCAGGGAGGTTGGAAGAAGAAGAATGACATGGGCTCAGGACACAGAGTGAGGACTCATGTCTAATGGCCAAAACTTCCATCTTCAGTTTTTCTGATGACAAGCCCTCAACCCCCAAGTCTTCCCTCTCAAGTTGAGTTTATGGTCCAGGCTACCTGGACAGAGCAGGAGGGAGGCAGTGCTTGGATCAGCCCTGAACTGCTGTAGTTGGAATGGGTTTATCTTAAATAGGTCATTGCACATAACACGCTGAGACAAAGAGGGTGGGGTGGGGGCCGGAGGTGTGGATGGTCCACACGCACACTTGTCTGTATAGGCTTGCTCAACCCAGCCCAGCAGTACCGGAGAGCCCCTCCCGAACTCATTCGTAAGAACCTAGACCCAGCTCTGCTCACCAATGTCTCCAGCTGCACAGAGAAAGGACTGCTCTCTCAAGGGTGAAGATGGAGATGACATTCCCGAGTCATTCTTGGGAGCCCCAGCTACTCCTGCAGCCCCCTCCCACTCTCAGGGATGCAGCTGTGATGGAGAGGTTGGGTATTTAAATTAAAAAGTAGAAAGACAGCAGGCACCAAGAAGAGAGCCCCCACCCCACACGAGAGGGAAGGCATTGCTGCTCCTCCCCCAATCCTCCCCATGGACCCAGCAACCTAGAGTGTCCCAGTAGGCAACCTGTCCACCGTCCCTGAGCAGGGAGCTGAGAGGGAGGTCAATGTGCTGGCGCCATGCAGTGCCAGGCCACCTGCCATTGTCCACGGTGGCCCAGGGTAGAAGCCAAGAATCTGGCATTTTGAGGCAGAGAGGAGCAAAAAGTTCTCTTCAGAAACTCCTCTTTCCCCCACCTCTTCCACGTGGAGACATCAGACACCCATAGCCTGGAACGTCCCCCTGACAGAAGGAGGTCAGGGTGTTTCCCATGCAGATCAGCAGTCGGGTGGGGGAGACCGGCGCCCCACCACTTCCTGGGAGTGGTGCCCAGGCAGCCACAGGCCGTGGGGTGAAAGGGCTGCGAACTACTCCCCTGGGCTATTTGTTAGTCTCCGTCAGCTTGGCCTCTGTGTCGCTGTCACTCAGATAGCTGTGGGAGTATCGGGGTCTGGAGGTGTTGTCGAGAGGGTCGTGCTCATCATCTGACCGGTCAGGGGCAAGGGACTTCCAGTAGCTGGTGGGGCTGCAGGGACAGAGGAATAAGGTTAGGGACAATGACACTCCTCCATTAAGCACTCACGCCTTTGGTTCTGGAGGCCCACAAATCTGCGTCAGAGCACTCCCCAAAAGCCAAACATTGTGAAGTAAAAACCTTCCTTGGCTTACTTGGAAGATACTCAAAGCGGTAAGAGGAAGGCGACTCTGGAAGCTTTTAAAGCTCCGAGGAAAGGGATGCTGAGAGCAGTGAGTCTCGGACTCAAGCGTGCATAAGAATCTGATGCAGGCTCCTGGGCCTTTCCTCTTAGAAACCTTGAATCGCTGGCTCCTGGGTACAACCCAGGAATTCTGCATTTTCAGTCCTTCCCCAGAAGGCTCTGAAGCAGGCAGTCCATGAACCACATTGGCCTGGAGACTGGAGGTCTGGTGATTACAACTTGTCTAGGGTAGGGACTCTCTTAGGCGAGTAATTCCTAAAAAGATTCCTTCTGAGAAGGAGGCCCTTTCCCCGTCAAATACTCCCGGATCTGAACCCTTTCCCCTGAGGCCTGTGAGGATTTTTACCTTTGACCATGCCATCATCTACAAACAAGAAATGGAGGCTCAGGAAAGAGAGGCTGGGAAGACCTGTTTTAGGGTGGCCCAAGGGGAAAAGCCCCTTTCTTGGTACAATAACATAACTCAGAGTCTTCATCAGGCCACTGGCTCTGGAGGCCTCCAGCTATCCCGGATGTGAAGAGGCCTCTTCCCCCGGATGGAGCAGGATCATGGCACTGAACAGGGAAGAGGGGACCTCATCTCACAGCTCCATTCACCTTCTCTTTTCTCCCAAAGCCTTGGGACCACCTTTCCCTACTCCTCCTGCCTCCACTGCCTCTGTCGGTTCAAGTGCACTCTCGTTTCAACACCACTGGAGAAAACACAGCCCAGTGTGGCTCCTCTCCTACTGGTGCCCCACACTGAGCGTGGTCCCTGGAGCTGCAGCCCTGCCTCCAGATCCTAGGGTTCCAACTTGGGCAAGCAGGAGTTCCATGTTCCCTGCCTATAATTCTGACTTAAGAAGCGAAAAGGCCCTTTGTTTACTAGCCCTTTTAAAGTTCTAACCCCAAACCAAAAGAGGAGTCGTCAAGGTTCCGCAGAAAGAACCTTCTTCTTAGCTTTTCCCAAGGTGGCAGTGAGAGATGCAGAGGGCAAGATTTGGTCACTGAGCACTCCTCTGTGTAAGACACAGCCTAGGCATGTGAGATGGGCTATCTTATTGTTCACAATAACCCTATGAAATATTACGAGGAAGCCAGTAAAAAAAGATGAAAGGATCTTCCTCAAGGCCACACAGCCAGTATGTAAACTTGAATCTGGGACTCTTAGACCTCAAAGACTTTGGACGACTTCACCCTGCCAGCCACTCGATTGGATGACCTGAGAGGAAAAAAAAAACACACACAAGACCAAACCTGAATTCTCCTGCTCGCTTGGGCGAGAGCCCAGGGGTTGTATGAAGAGATGTCGGTCTCTATCCCTGGGGGAAAGGAAGAGGCTGATAGAATACATGTTCAATTATGCAAAATGGTTCAGGAATGGGGCAGTCTGGTTAATACTTATCGTATTTCTCATGAATGAATTACCATTTTTAAAGGAATCAGGATAGCACAAAACACATTTAACACAAACTAGACTGAACATAAATGAGTCTTACTTTGATAGGACAAAGTATAGACCTATCAAAGTGAGGACAAAATTATAAAGCTCACTGATGACTGTGTAACATAGAAAAAAATTGGGGTTATTTTAGCTTTGGGGTTGTTTCAATTCTAAATTAGTGGGAGCCTGGTTTGGTTCTCATTTTTTACATAAAATTTCTGGGCACTGAGGGCTATGGTCTGCTGTTAGGCTAACGAGCGCCTGGCTTTGTGGAAAGACAGTGGGGTTACTTTGTGCGTGGAGGGGGGTGAGACAGATGCCAGGGCTAGAATCCAGATGCAAATGAGAGGCTGCTGGCGAGCTCCGAGGTGCTGTAAATTGCTGAATCAGGGCCCTCTGGTCCTTTCCATTGCCTCACCTCTTTTTAAGGTGGGGGTTCCACTCTCCAAGCCCACATTCCTGTGCCAGGTAGGCAGACACCTGGATAAATGACAGCCAGGTTTCCATACTGTTTCATCAAGACGCTGGGCAGTGGCAGAGGCTGCTGGGGAGGTGGTAAACTCCATGTCTCTCTCTGCCTTGGGCTGCGGACACATGAGATTGCCCTTGCCTGTAGCTTGGGTGATCGTTAGCCATTCTTAGTGGCTTCCACTGCTCCAGCCATCAGGGAGTCAACAGCAGGCAGCCGCCCTCCTCTCCAGGGCAAGAGTCAGGGTTGGCAATTTGAACATTTTAACCAAATTGTTTAAAAAAGCCTTCCACCCCACAAGCCAGTGCCTCCTGCTCAGCACTGTCACAAACAATTTGGTACATAAGCTAATTCCCGCCAGGCAAGCCCAGAGCGGCAGCTCCCCTCCCTTGAATGTGCTATGGAAGCTGCGTTCCTGTTGTAAATTCTTGCTGGTCCTCATCAACAGATGGGAAGCTAAGAGACTGCTCCATCCCATGCCCCCACCCCAAAGCCAGTTGATGCTGAGCGCCACTGAGGTTCTCCCTCCCCAGGCCTTTTCCCTCTGGCTCCGTGTTGGTTGACTAGGTTCTGGCTTGGTGCCACTCTACCAACACTGAATCCAATCCTCCTTGGAGGGGGTGGTATACAGGGTGTCACAACGACTACAGCTTTCCTGGTGGAAAAGAGGAACTGTGCTCGTGGCTAGTGGAAGAAACAGGCTTTTGGTCTTTTTGTTCTTGCTGGTTGTGGGGTCAAGGGTGATGGTGGGCTGATGGCATTGGGGTCTGAAATCTGCCAGTTGCCAGTCAGTGTGAGATGGCCCAGCTTTAGGCCCATGTCCATCTGGGGGTTGAGACGCAGTGTGCAAAAAGGCCTGGCCCTCTTTGCTTTCCAAACCTCTCTCCCGGGTCCATCAGCTGACTTCCTGCCCTAGGGGTGTAGGGCACTTAGCAGGGCTGCTAAGAGGAAGGCTGAGATGCCTGATCAAATATTTTGACTCTTGTCTTTTTTTTTTTTTTTTTTTTGGGATGGAGTCTCGCTCTGTCGCCCAGGCTGGAGTGCAGTGGTGCGATCTTGGTTCATTGCAACCTCCGAGCTTCCCGGGTTCAAGCGATCTCCTGCCTCTGCCTCCCAAGTAGCTGGGACTATAGGCGTGCGCCACCACGCCCGGCTAATTTTTGTATTTTTAGTAGAGACAGGATTTCACCATCTTGGCCGGGCTGGTCTCAACTCCTGACCTCAGGTGATCCATCTGCCTCGGCCTCCCAAGGTGCTGGGATTACAGGTGTGAACAACCGCACTCGGCCAACTCTTGTCTTACTATGGAGCCAACACTGGTTCCCTAGTACAACAGAGATGCTTCCTGTTCCTCCTGGAGCACCCAGTAACCATCTGCTGCATGGGGGAAGTGACAGAGCAGGGCTGAGCCATTCCACTTGCTCCATTCCTTAAAAGGTCTTACATCAGTCCCTTTTGGTATAATCCATTCAAAGTCAGCCTAGGTGTCCAGCTACTCACAGCACAAGCATGCAACAGGTGTGTTAGTTCATGCATCTGGAAGACAAATGTCTGTGCCCCAGGGGGCTGCACTCGGGGGTCATACCTCCTGGGAAGCAGCAAGCTTGCCCTGGGAGGGCATCATGCTGAAAACAGCTTCACATAAGCAGGGTGATCTAAAATGTCACCACCCACCAGGGAAACTGGCAACAATGGGATTCCAATGAGTCAGGCTCTGCCCTTCTTCCACGGTGGGGGTGTGGGCATAAAAGGCCTAACTGCTAGATCTCCCTCCCCACAGGGAGAAGAGCTGGGGGAGGCAGGGGAGCCAGGAGGGGGCTGTCACTCAGCAGCTGCTAATTTCTATTCATTAGAACCTTACAAGATGAGTAGAACCGAGGTGACGCCCATGTGTGGGCCTTTGGTGGGAGGGCTGGGGAGAGAGCCAGGTATCTCCTGGGTCTGCTGTAGGGTGTGGCGCTGTGTGGGCTGTAGCCCTGGGAGCCTTGTACTCCTAGGCTTGAGATCTATGCCAGAGAGGAAGGTAGCTTTGAGGGGGCAGGGTGGGGGAGGGAGAGCTAAGCAAAAGGCCCAATAATAGCTTAGGGCCACTGATGTGCACCAACCACAGCTGCGGTGTCAGTTTGGGACCTTTCCTGGCCCCCAGCCTGTTGGGGCGATGAACGAAAGCTCCTGAATGGGTGCTGCTGGGCACACACAGTAAACATGTTGCCCATGTGCTCTGCATTGGCTGCGTGGAGGAGTAGGTAAGGGCAAGAGTGTTGGAGTTGGGCGGATCCCATTCAGACCCTGGCAACAACCCTTCCCAGCTGTGTGTGACCACATGGCAAGTGACTTAACCTCTCCAAGCCTCAGCTTCATCTTCTATGAAACAGGGCTACTCAGACCTTTGTTATGGAGTTACTGTGAGGGATAAGTGACTAAAGTGTGGAAGGTATTAAGGACAGTCCCTGGTTCAGGGTCTTGTAAGTGGGAGCTATGACATCACCAGCGAGTTCGGCTGACGGGGCTCAGGGCTCAGGATGACTGACCAGCTTGGCTGGCCCCTGCATCAAGGCAGCCAGGAGGCTCTCCGAGGCCAGGCATGCCCGAGAGGAATGCGCGTGGGCGCTAAGGTGGCGGCCTGTGGGACAGGGAGCACGTTAGTTCACACCGGGTGGGACATGCCATGCTGAACCCAGGCCAGGTGCCACCTACTGCGCTAGTCGCTCTCGGGCCGGTACAGGTACCGCATCATCAGGCTGTCCACCTCCTTCTTGCGCTTCTTTTCCTCCTTCCTCGACAGCTGGTGCGTCTGCCCAGTCTCTTCACTTTCTGCAGCTGGGCCCTTCTTCACACTGGAGCGGCTGTGGCTGGAGACGGTCGAGCCGCTAGATGACGACGAGGAGGACTCAGACTCCGTCTCCGTTCTCTTTCTTCTCGACTTAGATTTCTTGCTCTTCCGAGAGCGCCCCTTCTTCCGCCTCTTGTGCTCCGAGGAAGCTTCGGAGCTGGAGCTGGAGCTGGAGCTGGAGCTGCTCCTTCTGCTCCTTCGCCGGCTCCGGCTCTTCCGGCCGCTGCGGGACCGGGACACATCAGCAGCAGAGGCGGAGCGGCGGATGCTGGCAGCTCGCTCCGGGGGGTCCAGTTGGGCGCTCCGGGCACTTTGGATGCTCTTCCTGTCATCCTCCTCGGAGTCGGGCTCCAGGCTGCTCCGCTGGAATGGAACAGGCTTGTAGCTCAAGACCTCGTTGATGGCAGCCTCCAGGTCTGGGTCCAGGTAGGAGTGACGGCTGACGGAGCGGACGCTGGAGCTGGGAGGCTCATCCATGGCCGAGGCAGAGCTGCGTGGCCGGGGTGGCACCGACAGACTGCGTGCCAGCGACGGGTGGCTGTACTGCGAGCAGGCCTCGCTCAGGGCCACACTGGCTCCGTCGTCCCATTCCTCTAGGCAGCTCCGGCCCAGGGACAGGCGGGAATCAGGGCTCTCCCGGCCTAGGCCAGAGACCCGGCTCAGGGAAGGGCTGAGCGTCCTGGTCAGGCTGTCGAGCCGGGAGGTGCTGCGGCGGGAACCAGGCGAGCCCGACAGCGAGAAACTCAGGGAAGAGCCAGCCCTGTCCTCGCCAGAGCCCCGCCGCGTGGCCGAGGAGGCCCGGCTGACGGGTGCAGAGACGGTGGAGGCCCGGCTGAAGTCGGAGCCCCACCGCTTCTCCGGCCCCCGGCCGGCGCGCCCTCCAGTCCCTGAGAGGACAGAGCCGCACTCCTCCGGCTCCTCGGACTTCCTGCCCGGGCCTGGCTCCTCCCTGGGGCCCACACGGGCCTTCCTAGGGGGCCTCTCTGGGGAGGCCGCCCGCTCGCTGAGGGAGGTGAAGAGCGAATCCGCATCCCCGGTGCCCCCAATGGAATCCTTCAAGGTGAGCCGCTTCCGATAGCTCAGGGAGCTCACCACCGAGGATGGCCTCTCCTCCACCCCTGAGGCCTCCTTAGAGAGGCTGTTGAGGGCCGTTCCGAGGGAGGGTGCGAGAACCAGCCGTGGATGAGGGCAGCAGGGAGAGAGGGAGGTTGAGAGAGAGAGGAACAAGCATTAAACCCAGAGAATAAAGACACAGGGGGAGGGAGGCAAAAGGAGGAGAAAACGGCAGCAGCCCTGGCAAAGTGGTGGTGAGAGCGTCGGAGGAAATGAAGCAAAATAATTTGCGTCAGTGAAAATAGCTTCATGGAGAATGTCATGTAAATTAGACTATTGTTCTATTTCATCACTTTTCCCCCTCTAAACGTTTAGTTCAATTTATTTCATTGTCAACTACCTGGAGCCTCGTGCCACTCCGTGGTGAACCACAGCAGTGGGGCGGGGAAGCCGGCATTATCTGCAATAACAAAACGTTGTTTGGCCGAATAAATTAAACCAATTAGGGGGGGCTGCTGGGTGCTTCTGGTGAGGGGCCAGGCTTGGGGAAGGGGCCTTGGGGGAGCTGGAGAAGGGAGGGAGAGACGTTACTTTTTCAACCCAGTCTACCTGCTGTCTCTGGGAGAGGATGGGGAAGGGTGTGTCCTGGAGGATCAGGATGGGCTTGAGTTGGGGGTCGGGATTCTATGTTGTGGGGGGAGCAGGGATATGGCTTTATGGGGGTGGTTGGGGGTGGGGGTGAGGGCTGTTCTTTCTCCCTGCTGCCACACTGGCCAGTAGGAAAGAGATGGGGAAGGGGAAGCTCTGGATTCCAGGGGTAGCTGTCTGTATGATCAGAGAACTATGACTGGCTAGAAAACAGGGGAGCACATTCCCCCAGTGGATGGGTATTAGGAGGAAAGAAATGGGGGCAGTGAAGAGATTAGAGGAAGGAGAGAATGGGCAGAAAAAGACAGAAATGTGCCTGTAGCTGGGTCAAGAATCAGTGGAACTGGTGCCTCTTCTGCTGTTATTCATGGTAAGATGTCAGAGATCCAGAGCTGGCCAGGGCTGTGGGATCAAGAGTCCCCTGTGCCCCATCCCAGTCTTGATTCCAAGGGTCTGAACTATCAGGAAGCTTGATCAACATTTGTTGAATGAATAAGCAAAGGTGACATTTAACCTACACCAAACCAAAGCTTGGAGCCTAATGGGAAAACATTACCTGGGAAAAATAAGGGCAACACAGCTCTGGCTAAGAAGAAACTAAGCCTCTTCCTGTGCCCACGCACATGCCAGGAGCATGCCCGGGCTGCAGTCACAAATGCCAGGCAAGAGACGCAGGCCTGCCCTCATGAGATCCAGGCACTACTTGTCCATTCCTTGTGGCATGAGATGGCTTTTCCTCCCAGCTCAAGGCCATATGCTCACCTGGAACTCTTTAAGCTGCCATCATCAGAAGCTGCCTTGGAAGGTCCCTTGTTTTTTGACAACCAGGATTTGACCCCGTCGACCCGGTCCTCCAGCTCCGAGTCCACATCCGAGTCTCCCTCACTGTAGGGATGAGGAGCAGAAAGGTAGGCAAGGCCAGGCAAGGGATGGGCACCTGCTGCCCACGAGGGGAGCAGAGGGGGGTGCAGGGGGTGTCTTGGGCAGGGGGGATGTGGGCAGCATGCGCGTCAGTGAGTCAGGGGGAGAACGAGAGAGGTTAGACAGAGCACACCATTCACAAGGAGCCTGTCCCCACTCAGCAGCCACACTGTGTGACAACCACCAAGAAGACCCTGAGGAGCATGGAGGCAGCTCCCAAGCCAGTTATCTGTGACAGGCCACTGTTTAGCTGACCAATCCAAGGAGAATGACTTAAAGACCATCCACTCATCAATTTCAGCTAAATGGCTCTGAGCTAAAAAGAGGAGCCCTGGGTCCTTCAGTGATTCCTTGAGGCCTACTCTGCTGTTTCTTTTCTGCCATTCTTCAGATTGTGGCCATAGCTGCTGTCAATTTCCATGCCTTTGTTACAAGAGCTGGGCTGCCAGCCACAGAGCAGGAGAAGAGAAGGGCTTCGTAGGATTTGGAGTTAGCTTGAACCTGGAGGTCTCCTTAGCGGATGGCAGCACCAACCTGGGCTGTAGGTTAAGGAGGCACAGGCCATATCGCAGATCCATCCTGTGGCTTTTAAGAAACAAAGGAAAAGGGGTGGGGGGCATCGGCATTTCCAGAGGGACTAGCAACAGTTTCAGTATCTAAATTGTCTCTGGAGACCCAGTTGGGCTCAGAAAGTCCCAGACCAGAGCCCTGTCACTCAAGGTCTCCTCTTCCGTCCTCAGGTAGCCCCCAGCCCTTGCTCACAAGAGCTTCATCTGGCAGAGCTGACCTTAGCACTTGCAAGAAAGCCCAGAGGAGTCCAATTCTGAGGCTGGAGTCATGGCCCTCCCTTCATGAAGCAGCTGGGCTTGGAGATAGCTTCTGAGTTAAGATAGATTCTAAAATTCTGCAGAATGTCTGCTCACCAAGTTGCCCTGCTATGTATAGGCTAGGCTTTCTCCTTGATATAAATTTCCTTTCCTCTGTGTCAACAGGAATGGCTCCATTCCTGAATTATGTTCTCAAATAAATAACCACACAGGCATGTGCACACACGCACACACATATGAAACCAGCAGACTGTTCTGGGGACCGTGAGAGAGTCCAACTCACGGAGAGGGGAATAAAGAGGCATATTTTATGGGCTTCCATCAAATACAGAATTATAACAAAGACGAGGCCGGCTGATGCCCCAGGTAAACAGGAGTTTAGCAGACAGCCTCGAAACTGCTAATGCAAGCCCTGTGCCTGTCCGAGCCTGGCAGATTTACTGTGGTGCATGGGCCCCATGGAACGCCAATACCACCTGATTTATACACCCGTGCAAAAAACCTCCCTCTCTAGCTTCAGAGCCTATAATTTATCACCACCGTTCATAACCATATTGATTGCCTTTAGAAAGGAGGTGCTGTATGCATCGCAAAATCTATGTCTACATGTTAAAAGCGTTTCTGTGTAAATCTCCCTTAATACTGTGCTGTTTACTGCTTTCATTAAGGTTATAGCAATAACAACTGTATCTCTAAGTAAATCGAAACATTATTTTTCTGCCCGCCTTAGTGTGCTGGGCTCAATAACTTGGAGCTGGGGCCCAGAGCTGCTGAGGAAGGAGCCACACCACCTCTCTGCCATCAGCCGGAACCTGGTTAGAGCCGCACGTCCCCATGCGTCTACGTGAGCACACACTGGCGTGTGCGTGTGTATGCGTGTGCAGTGTACCTGTGTGTATGCGTGCCTCGCAGTGGTTTAGAATATGATCTTAAATGCGCATTTTATCAGCCCTTGAAGCTCTTACCACCCAAAGATAGCAGGGTTGAAACACACAGGGGACAGACAGTTGTGGGCTCAGAATACGAATTTTCCTCCTCACATTCAGAGCAGTGGATGGGCTGCAAAGCTGGCCTGCCTGCCCTTGCCTTCCCTTTAGTTGCAAGCATCTAGAAGATGGTCTTTTCCTTAAATAATCAGGCCCGTAAACAAACTCCAGGGGCAGGCAGGCTCAGGGGGCAGTTGAAATTTTAAATGGTCGGAATTAAACTTTGCGTCAAATGCAATTTATGTCCGGGCTCATGTGCTATTAGTTAACTGGGAGCCGAATCGCGGGGGAACAAACAAACGGAGACAGAATGGCGGGGGATATTAATTGTGTGTGACAACCAGGCTCCAGCGGCCCTCTATCACTGTTACACACTATTACATTTATCATTAGCTCTCACGGAGTCCTGTGCGCTGCCACCAGCCCATCCTGGCCAGCGGAGGGGGCCCACCAGGCAAGAGAGAGTGGGGGAAGAAATCCAATGCCATGCTAAAAAAACAACCTCTGAAAAACAACCCTGTCGAACTTGATGGAGGATCAGCCCCACTCTGCCTGAAGGCCTGCACATCTGCATCTGCTGTCCAGCTCCCACCCAGATAGCGGGAAAAGAGAGGGCTGGATTTCCTGGGCTTCCCGCCACCTGACAGACAGCATCAGCACAAGCGCCCGCCGGGGCCTCCCTCTGCCCACGGTGCCGCAGGGAGTAAAGTAAACACATCTGGCTGTGTTCCCTTCCCCCGCCATGGCGAGCAGCCCATGATTAGCTGCCTGAATGCTTTCTCCAAACAAGAAACTGGGAGATACCCCTCACCTTCTACCCTTGTCTGCCAAGAGAAGGTGGTGGACCTTTAAAGATGAAACATGCCTGCTTCTTGCAGGCAGCTCAGGCTCCCAAGGAGCCCAAGGATGTGGACAGATCCAGCCCAAACAGACTTTTCTCCCAGAGAAATAGGCCAGGGAGGTGGCCACACTTGGTTTTTAAGGGAGGAAAGTGCTGGAGCTCGGGAAGGTAAACTTCTCGAATAGGCTGCACTTTCCTTTCTGCAGGAGCCCCCAGTCCTGCCCACCAAGGGTGCACGGGCCAGCCCCAGCCTTCTGGGGAGCACATCTCATTGCCCGCTCCCTGCCTCCCCTGAGGATAGAGTCAGTGTGTTAGCATTAGAGAACAGTGAGGCAGGAGTGTGGGGAGGCTGTATCCACATGCTGCGTGCAGCGGCCCTGGGGTGGGAGCCAGTGTTAGGGGTGGTTAGACACCCGCGAGGACAGGCAGAGAGCACATGCGCTCCAGTCCTCACAGTTTATTCTTTCTTTTCTGATACTTTGTCACCATGTCCTGCAAACTGGAAATAGAAGGAAGATGGTGGGCAAGGGGTCCAGGGGAAACAGATGAAATCAATGGGCAACCCCAAGGTGGACCCCTTAGCTAAGGACCTCTCTTCCCTCAGCAAGAGCCAGCTCTGGCTGGCTGAGACCAGGTAGGGGGGGTTGCGTGATAGCACTGTCCTCAAAACCTGATCTGGGCTGCCCCTGGCACCTCTCCCCTGCCCCAAAGCAGCAGGCTCCCTGCGCTGCCCCAGACCTGCCTGCAGGATGGGCCCCAGCCCTGAGGTGGGAAGCAGGCAGGTCTAGGGTCTGCCTAGGGCAGCCTTGGGAGCTTCTCCATGGCCTGGCGCCACCCCACACTGCCGGCCTTCCTTCTTCGTGACTGTCTCCTCCGCCTAAGACTACAAATCTCTTTCTCTCCAGACCATTCCCTGGGTGGGTTTTATGAGAAAATCTCTGGCATAGTAACAAGGCACCACAGCCTTTAAATCTCTGCCCTCCCCAGAGGGGAGCAGACACCATCGGAAATGCAGCTAAACAGGGGAATAACTCATCTTGAGCGGGCAGAGCTGGAGGGCCTGGTCCTGGGGAGGGGAGACTGGCTGGGGGGCCTCAATCAGGGTGCACCTGTCTCACCCTCTGCCTCTGCAGGACAGGCTGTGCTGGGGTCTGGCAGTAAAGGGAGGGTGGGTTGGTGGCTCGCTCATGGGGAGGCAGAGGATGCAACTGTTCTACCTGGTGGCCTGGTTCCAGAGGCAGTCAAGAGGGCCTCCGTGCTGGCTGCAGATGCCCCAGAGGCCACCTCTCACCTGTTGATGAGGTCCTCATTCTCATCACTCTCCATCTCATCCTCGATGGCGGCCTGCAGGTCCCCGATGCGCTTGAATGCCAGCTTTAGGTCAGCCTGCAGGCTCTGGTTAGCAGCCTCCAGGCTTTCTAGATCCATCTCCTAGGAGGAAGGGGGCAGCCCAGTTTGCAGGAGGGCTAGCTTCTTCCCCAGATGACCAGAAAAAGCCTGCTTCAAGTCCTTCCCGGTCATAGGGGTGCTACCCAAGGGCTGACACAGGCTTCCAGAGCCTTTTCCGCTCTGCTGCTGCTGGGCTGTGGGGGCCAAGCCTCACCTGAGGAAGCCTCCAGTGCCATTGGCTCCCTGGTCTGCCCTCTTGGTATGCTCCTCCTCCCTCTCATTCTCTGACTCATGTGCAGTTTCTTTGCACCCTATCCCCAACCAGGCCAGAGTGAGGCGCACACTCAGCAGCTCGTCAGGGGGCTGCCATGTGGGCCCTGTGGGGGACAGGAGGGCATTACCAGTTCGTGCTTCTTGCGGCTGGCCTCAGCCTCCTTCCTGGCAAGCTCGCCCATCTCCTCCTTGGTGTCCCGGAGCTGCCTCTGTAGCCGCTTGTTCTGTTCCTTCTCCCGGTTCTCGGCTGCAATGCGCTGATCCCGCTCCTCAGTAAGCTTCTCCATGTTTTCCTTGAGCCGGCTAGCCAGGCTCTGGACAGGCAGTTGGGGAAGAAAGACACAGCACGTAGGCCCATCAGTCAGGCAGAGGGAGGGTGTGGCAGAGCTCTGGGTCAGGAGGCCTGGGGTCAAGCTCTGGCTCCACCATTCATTGGCTACCTGGGCAAGCAATCCCGAGGCTTCCCTTGCTTTTCTGTAAAATGGGGGGAGAATAACACCTACCCCCCAGGGGTCTTCTGAGGATGAATAAGGTAATGAATGTGAATGCACTTTGAAAGATGAAAGGTGCTATTATCATTATTACTACACCAAGACTGAAGGAGTGTTCTGGGTACAGCTTGGTGGGCCTGTCGGTATTGACACTGCATGTAGAGGCCTCTTAGGTCAGCAGGGCTTCCCGCAGGGACTCTGAACCCAGAAGCCCCAAAAGCTAGATCCTGTGCTCAGAGGTAAATGGCTTTGCTGGAGTTCTGGATTAGGAGAGACTAAACAATCATCAGATTCCAAGCAGAGAGCATCTCTCTAAGCCTAATGAATCTCCTGCCAGGCAGTGGGATGTTGAGCAAAAAATGACCTGGAGACAGGGGCTGAATGTGAAGGAAGAACCCTGCATCTGCTTGTGATCCTGGTTCTACCTCTGACTGGGCCTCCAGCCTCTATGTCCCTAAAACAACAGAGCCAGGCTGCAGGATTGGGCCATTCGTGTTTAACATCCTATGAGTCTAAACCACAAAACTCTCCGAGCAGAAGGGAACCTGAGGAATAGAGGTGTGGGAAGGGACTAGGCCCAAGAGAAAAGGAGATAAGTCCTGTGGGCCTGTCCTGTGTCCACCAGACTAATGGCCTCTTCTGTCCCTTGATAGCTTTGTGACCTTAGGCAACCTACATAACCCTTCCTATATGTAAAATGGGGATCAAAATATTATCCGCCAGCCTGGGGTTGGGGTGGGCAGAAAATAAATTCTTAAGTTTCCCCTAACTCTCTCCAGCTCTCCTGAGGACTGTGACCCCATCTTGGGAGGGTCAGTTGTGCTCTCTTCCTGTGTCCAGGTTATTAATGCCCTCTAGACGCCCACCTGTTTCTATCCCTACCTAAGTGCCTGCTCCATGGACTGCGAGTTGATGGAGGAGGTGACAGGGCCGCCCCTCAGCAACCACACTTATCAACACAGGGCCCAGACAGAACTGACGGTGCGGAGACAAAGGCTTATAAACTCAAAGAGAACTTAAAAATAAGGCGAGAGGAGTGTAAACCCAGGAGATAATCCTTTCTGCCTCTCTCTTGCTATCTGCTCTGCCAGAGATGGAAGGCGCTGGCCCATACTGGCTTTGGGAGACCAAAAGAAAAAGGATTGGTCCAGCGTGGTGGCTCATGCCTGCAATGCCAACACTTTGGGAGGCTGAGGCAGGCGGATTACTTGAGCCCAGAAGTTCGAGACCAGTCTGGGCAACAAGGCAAAACCCTGTCTCTGCAAAAAGTACAGAAATTAGCCAGGCATGGTGGCACATGCCTGTGGTCCCAGCTACACAGGAGGCTGAGGCAGGAGGATGGGAGGATTGCTTGAGCCCAGGAGGTCAAGGCTACAGTGAGCCATGATCGCGTCACTGCACTATAGCCTGGGCAACAGAGCAAGACCCTATCTCAAAAAAAAAAAAAAAGAAGAAGAAGAAGAGAGAATGAACTTTATAATAAAGGCAGAGGAGAATGGGATGGGAAGAGGGTAAGAAAGAGAAGTAAGATTGGGGAGAGGAAAAAATATCTCACGCCTGTAATCCCAGCACTTTGGGAGGCCGAGGTGGGCAGATCATGAGGTCAGGAGTTAAAGACCATCCTGGCCAACATGGTGAAACCCTGTCTCTACTAAAATACAATTTTAAAAATGCACGTGCCTGTGGTCCCCGTTACTCAGGAGGCTGAGGCAGGGGAATCGCTTGAACTTGGGAGATGGAGGTTGCAGTGAGCCAAAATCGCACCACTGCACTCCAGCCTGGCAACAGAGTGAGACTCTGTCTCAAATAAAAAAAAAAAAAGAAAAAAGAAGGGAGAAGAATAGGGTCATAATCAAGGAAAAGGAAGAGAGAGAGAGAGAAAGCAGAGACAGGAGGGCAGAAGAAGTGAGGAAGAAAGGGAATGAAGCAGGGAAGGGGAGAGGAGAGAGGGCAGATGAGAGAACAGACTCCAGCCTGCACAGAAGTGGCACCATCCGCTGCATATTTATGACCCTGCCAGAGAACCGGTTGAGGGGAACAGGCAGGGGGGAGCTCGTGGTGGAGGAAAATATGAAGACGAAGAGCTAAGCTGCTCTGGTCCCTTGGCAGAAAGCAAGCACGGAAACAGAATGTAAAGCAGGCGGGCTCCATGGTACCCAGAGAGCAGGCCAGGCGGGGCGGGAGAGAAGCACCTGCCCGTCAGCTGGCCTGGCAACGAGGCACAGGCCTCTGAGGAGTGTCCGGAGGCCTGCCCAGCCCTGCTGAGCATGCGCGGCTCCAGTGCTGGCGCAGCTCTGCCCTGTTTGGTGCGGCCTGGGAGAAGCGGGAACCCACCTCCAGCCGTTTCACTTGCGTCCTTTCAAACTCCAGGCGTGTCTCCAGCTCCCGTATCTTAGCTTCCTGCCTGCTCACCAGGGACTTGTCCACCATGGACTGCTCCAGGAACTCCACCTGGCTCTGGAGGGCTTGTAGCTAGAGGTGGAGGGCAAGAAGAGAAGAAAGAACCGAGCCCAGAAAGTGAGGAGGATACGTCTGGGGCAGGCAATATCACCACGGTGACCAGAAGGCGGGAGGGGTAGAGAGGGATGCACCTGGGAGGAAAGAGAATGGAGCCCTGGGCCAGAGACCTCCCCCATCTGCCCTAGCGCTTGGCACAGATCATGCCCTTCAGAGAGAAAGGAGAAAGCTAAGGACTGGAGAGGGAATAGAGATGGGAAATGAGGCAGGGGAAGCCCAAATGTCTGCTATGGTAACATGGCTCCAAGCCTAGCCCTTGTTCCTAGTTTATGTTGCTCTGTGGATTACTGATGGCAGAGAAAAGTGCCTTCTAAACTGTGAACTTGGGGGTTCCTCCCACACGTAGTGATCCTGGCACTCTCTCCCAAGGGAGCCCCTGGTCCTCACCTTCTCCTGCAGCTCCTGCTTCTCTTTGTTGGCCTCTTCTAGCTGAGCTTGGAGATCATTTATCTGAGCCAGGTCCCGGGAAGCCTGCGAAAGGGGTGAGAGCATCAGAAGCAGGATCCCCCATAAACATTCAGCCAGCCCAGCCCAGCTGGAACACCAGGGGACCGAAGTTCTCACTCCATCACCTCCCAAAACAAGCGGTTGTATGGGGGACCCACGAGGAGGACCAGAAGGATGATGGTGGTGCGGAGTGTGAGGGGCACTCCTGGCAGGGGTACCTGAGCCACGGCAGCCTTGTGCTTTTTCATCAATTCGTTCATGTCTTCCTGATCCTCCTCTAGCCGGTTCTGGATTTCATTCTTCTCACGCTGAAGGCGGCTCAGCTGCTCCTCCAGCTGGACAGAGGCAAAGACAGATCAGAGGGCCTCAGGCCCAGTGTGTCTGTGGGCTCCAGCTGCCTCCAGTGGTGGGGGCATTGTAGAGATGATAATGGGCTGTCTGCCCGCTGGGGTGGGTCCCAGGACCAGTGATGCTCAGGGAGCTGCCTGTCCTGCTCCGGACGAGGGAGATGAGGGAAAGGGCTGTGTGCAGTACAGGCAGACCCCGGGCCTCTGAGCTGAATGACAGCTGCTTCCTGGCAGCTCCTTTGAGGCTAATGAGAAGGCAGAAAAGGTCTGCCCAGAACAAATGACCCATCATCCTGGCACTATCAGTCCAGGCCCTGCCTGCGTGTACTCTGACCCCTTCAGGCCCCAGGGAAGGACCCCTCAAGTCTGCGAAGGTCTCCTGGCTTAGACTCTCATTGCCCCTGGGACTGCCCACTCCCTGGGCATCCAGCCCCCACAGCCAGTCCCCTCCTTGGGGGAGGGGAAGAGAGATCCAACAGCAGCTTCAGGAAATGAATGAATCTATTAGCCTGTAATTCCAAACCACAATGACTGTGTTGGCTCCTTCTCTGCCCCATCCATCTTGTTACTGGGCTGTGGGGAGCTGGGGAAGCCTCCGCCAAGAAATTTATTAACTCAGATTTAAATAAAATGGTAATTTTATAACAACCTTTTTTAACACAATTAAGGAATTTGAATTACTCACCTGAAAACTGCTGAGGAGCACAAATGTCATGGGGATAAATCAAGCCTGTGAGATTGGCATCTCTCAGCAGCTAGGTGACTAGCTCAGGGGCCATGAAGCCACTAGCCCAGCCCAGCCTCCTCCCCTGCCCCATTCCCTGCCCAAGGAGGTATTGGTGGCCACATCCCCGTAATGAATTCTCTGCCGATGGATGGGCTGTGGGAGAGGTGGGGAATTAAAAAGGAGGCATTAAATAAGAGCTCTAATTAGCTGCCGCTTGGGCTTGTCAGTGGGCTGGACAGGGGGAAGGGGAGGGAAGCCAAGCCATCCTGTCCTCTTATCGGTGCTTCTGCTAATCTCTAGGCACCTGTTTACGTCCCTCAGTCACATTAGATGCCTTTATTTATGGTGTTGGGGCCTGCGGCCAAGCTTCCGCAGGCAGGTGGTTAAACAGGGAGATGGGCCCTTGCTGGCTCCCTCTTCTGCCCGCTCCTCCCCGAGGCCTCTGCTCAGGGTGGGGAGACGCAGAGCAGGGGGGCCTGCTCTTCCTGCAGCAAGTCCTGGCATGAAAGGACCCGTCACAAGTCCTGACGTGGAGGAACCTGTCTGGGGTGAAGGGAGCCACAGAGGCAGCTCTATTCTGCCTCAGCCCCCCGAGCTCTGCCCCGGGCACCCTGGCCCCTCACCACTGTCTTGGCTTTGGCGATGTCATCAATCTGCAGGTGCAGGTCTTCGATCTCTACCTCCATTGCTTTCCGTGCTTTCACGGCTGCCGCACAGGTGAACTCTGACTCCTCCAGCTGGACAGAGACCACCCCCGCCCCAGAGAGAGATGTCAGTCATTCCCTGGGGGCAGGAGGGCTGTACAGGGAAGAGTGAGCCCAGATGCCCTCCTTCTCCTCCTCCATTCACTTCAGACCCCAGGGCCATGGCTGTGTGGTGTTGCATGCGTGGGCATCTCCTCCTGTGACAGGGCTGGTGGGCACCAGGCCCCATCCACACCACCCTGGGCTGGGCGGTGAGACAGTAAGGCACACGCAGGGCCTGGGGAGTCTAGCTGCTACATGTGGCTCTCCCCTCTATCCTGTCACTTTCCTTCCCAAGGACTCACGAGCCACTGAGAGGAGTGAGAGAGAGAGAAAGAGAATGGAAAAGGTAAGCTCTGTTGTGCCTGGATCAGCCATGTGCTCTCTGGGGATACCTGGTTCTTGAGCTGGGCGATCTCTCGCTTGCTGGGAGCGCTGTTCTTCAGGTGGTCCAGCATGAGCTGGGCATCCGCCAGCAGGGCCTTGGTGCGCTTCAGGTCCTTCCGCAGCCGCTTCTCTGACTCAAAGTCCCGCCGGTTCACCTGGGTGGGCACCAGCAGTTGGGGTTCTGGGCTCCACACAGGGCCTCCTCCTATCTTACCCAAGCCCACTCCTCACCACGTCCTCATTATCAGTGTCCCCATAAGGATCCTGGAAGAGCCAGGATCATGCCAACCAGTGGTAAAGGGCTGGGTGTGCCAATGTATGGTGATGCCTCCATCGAGGGATGATGATGGGCTCTTTGCAGCACCCCTATCCCCCTGACAGCTCTGTTCCCGGCTCCCCATCCCTAGGATCCCCACTCCTCAGGCTGCATGGGCAGGTAGCTGGCCAGGCTTGGCAGGTGGAGCGTCCCCTGACCTGGTCGCTGAGGGTGGCGAGCTTGCCCTCCAGCTCCCGCTTCTCTCGCAGCACCTTCTGCTTGTCCTCATACTCTTCCTCCAGCTGAACCTCCATCTGTTTTAACTGGAATACCATGGGGATAGAGACCCGTCCATCCCTTTAGTACCGGGTGCCAAGCAGGCCCCTTTGGTTCTGGGTTCCCCACTCCGGGAAAACAGTGGGGCAGGCCTGAGCACAGTGATATTGGCGGAGGGGTCAGAACCTAAATTTCAGATTTCCAGGGTTTCAAAGCAGCCTGGGAGGGCGAGGAGGGATGGCAGGCCACATGCGGTGGGGCTAGCCAAGACAGAATAGGACACCTCGCCGCACAGTGGAGACCTATCCGGCCAGGCTGGCTGACTGCAGACAGCACCAGTACAGCGCAGCACAGCAGGGGCACAGGGGGCTGCCCCTGGCACAGAAAGCAGGGAGCGTTAGTTCCTCAGGGGCTCAAGCTTCTCTACAGACTCTGAGCCAATACATCCCTGCCAATGCCAGGATCCCAGGCGCTTCCTGGCCCAGAATGACAATGGAAGACAATGTGGCTGAGGTAGGGAGGCAGAAAGCCCCTTACTTTAAAGCGGCGATGGGAAAAGGTGTTTACGCTAGGCAGGTAAGTACTCAGATACCTTACCTTCTTCTGACACGACTGCCGGGCCTCCTCCACCTCCTCATCCCGACTCTCCATCTCCTTAGAATGGGTCTGTCTCATTCGCTCCATCTCCATCTCCAGACGCAGCTTGGCCTGGAGGTGGTTGGAGTAGGGTCTGGGTTCCCTCCCCAGCAATGCCCACCCCCTTCCCACCTGTGTGTGGCTCTCCCTAGGCTCATGGGCTGAGAACGTCCACCAGCCAGTTCCCTTTGCTGGCACCTTGCTCTCGTGGCAGCAGCTTCACCAGAGCAGCTGAACTCCCTTGCTAGCGGTCTGGCATAGGCCCAGAGAGAGGTAGCTGGGGTGGGGACAGTCCTGCAGCTTCTCCATCTGCCTGCAGGCTCCAGCTGCCTGAACTGACTTGGTGGCAGGCTGGTTGGGCCTGTGGCCCTCAGCTGCCATGCATCTTGAGCCCTTCCCTACTAGAGCTCCATCAGATTTGTTTTTGTGGAAAGTTCCACGACTGCATCTTTATACTGTGGCTGGCATAGATCAGGTGCTCACTCCACATTTTGTGAGTAGGTGAGTGAGTGAACACATGAATGAATGGAGGCAGGATCCTCTGGCCCATGCCTGAGGCTGGCTGTGGGGATGGTGGCACCCCTCCCTTGGCCAAGCTCTCCTGTACCTGCTCCAGCATCTGGATGGTCCCTGCCTGCTCATCCAGCTCTTCTTCCTGATCCTTGACTTTGGCCTCCAGGTCCCGGAGCTGTTTCTTGACCTTGGCCAGAGAAGCCTCATCCTTGGACTCTTGGGAAGAAATGTCCTGGAGCTCTGCCTCTAGTGACACAACCTTCTGGGTGAACCCTGCAATATCCATGTCTTTTTCCTGGAGCAAAAGAGATGAGGCTGGTGCAGGGCTGACCCCAGGTTGTGAGGGGGACAGGGCACAGACGGTGGGTGGCCCTACCCACCTCTAGTTGCTGCTTCAGGCTGAAAGCCTCAGCAAGGAGCATGTCCTTCTCCCGCTGCAGCTTCTCCCGCTGCAGCTTCTCCCGCTGGGCCTCCTCATGCGCCTGCGAGAGCTCACTGTCAAACCTGCAAGGCAGCGTGGCGGCTCTATCAGATGGGGAAGAGCCGGGGTCCCCCACACAGAGATTGTCAGGAGGTGGTGCCATGGACAGGACCCAAGCAGGGGTGGGGGGACCCATGCAGCCCTAACGTGGGGCCAGTGGCAAGATAGGGGTGACATTTAGAGGTGGCAGGTCAGGCCACTGAGGCCCTATTGAGCAACTGGGTCTGGGATAGGGAGCGCTCAGGCAAGCCCTTTCACCAAGTAGGCCTAAGAGGGACCCCTAGCCTGCTTAACAGGCCCCTCAGGAGTTAAGTCTCTACATTTTCCATTTCAACACATCAAAGAATGAGAGACCCAGGTGAGGGTGGGGTGGGAAAAGGGTAGAGATGAGCACCCTGCTTCTACTAACTCACTTTCCACAGTTCGGTTCGGCAACTGTAAGGGCAACAACTGGCTCCTTGTCCCTGCCTCTGGGCACCAGCCTTTGGCCAGGACCATGCACCCCAGCAGTGCTGGCAGGACACCACCAGGACACCCCATACTGGGTTCAGAGCTGGCATTCCCACTGTGCCCAGCTGGCCACATGCCTCAATGGGCACACAGGGGGCCTCGTTCTTCACTCCTCCACTTCCCAGTCTTCCATTTCCCGCTAAATATGCAGCAAATTGCTCAAATTCCTCTTACCACCTTCCCTGAATAGCTAATCAGGTTCCTGTGGAAGTTGAACGCTCCCCTTACCCCAACCCCACATCAAAAAAAAGTAAGAAAACTCCGGGCAGCTGAAACCTAATAAGTTGCCCAGCGGGGAGCACAGCAGCACGGTAACTAGGCTGAGCTGGTATCGTCATTGCGTGCTCAGAAGGGGGGTCGAGCTAAGGGTGCCAGCCTTTGGGTAAAGGGGTAGGGTGGGGGCAGAGATGAGAACGAGGGAAGTGGCGGTCATGGTGTCAGGTGGGAGGAATAGAAAACCTTCCTATTTCCCCAGTTGGGGAGATGGTGGTGGGTCCAGGAGGCCAGGGGTAACCCAGAGTCACTGGAAAGGCTCTGCCATCCTCACTCCCAGGGTCGTGGGTGTGGGGATACCCCTTCACGAAGGCAACCGGTGCCTCTGCTGAGAAGCCCTTCCCCCACAGAGGAGAAATGGGTGCTGTTTTTGCTCCCCAGGGCGCCCTGCTGTTCCCAGGGTGTGTGGGTTCCTCAGTACTGCTAATGAAGGCGTCCCATCCTCATTCCCAGCCCGGGAAATTAATTTAGATTGGATTTTCTCCTGTGAGGGCCACCCCCCTCCTTTGTATCATTACCATAATGAGATGGAAGTGGCACGGTAGTTTAACGACATTAGTCAGGAGAGAGTGTTTGTGTAGCTGAGGCAAGTGAGGGAGAGGCAGAGCTGGGGGCCGGGGGCAGGGACATAGCGGTTCCTGCACGGGCCCTGGTTGATGCCCTTCCTGATGGGGCCTCGCACAGGGTGACAGGCACGTGATGCGGGGAGCACCTCTGAAAGCAGAGGCCTGGGCAGGCCTTCAGTGGGGACACAGCTTGAGTCCACCCTGGAGGTCAAGAGGGGGCCTCTTCACGTTCCAAGATGAGTGACCAGGCAGGCAAGGGCCCTGGACAAATTCAGGTCCTTCCTTCTTTCTTCCCTGGAGAGCGAGGAGGCAGTCCTGTCTGTGGCTGCTCCAGAAGGTTCTCTGGGCCCAGGGCAGGGGGCCCACCTACCTCCTCTGCTTCTTCTCCAGCTCGTGGTTGCGGACCTGCTGGCCCTCCAGGTGCAGCTTGGTATCCTGCAGCTCAGCCGTCAGCCGCTGGCACTTCTTCTTGAGCTGCTGCAGAGCCCGCTGACTCTCCTCACTGTCTGCCTGCAGGTCCCCGAGCTAGGGGCCGAGACGGGGTGCATATACAGAGAGGCCCGGAAGCATTGGTGGAGAAGGTGAGGAGGGGGAGGTGGGTAAGTGAGGGGAAGACCCAGGGATGTGGGAGGAAGTAGGGTCTCCCAGGGTACTGAAGAAGCTCTAATGATAGCCTGCTCCTGATTGCCCCTGCACCGAGAAGCTAACATGCCAGCCTCCCTGATCTGTCCCAGGCCAGGCCTGCCTGCCCCCAGCCTTCACTGGACTGACACGAGGCACCAGTTCCCCTCCTGGTCCTCTCAAGCACAGGCCTCGGCTCCTCCCCAGCCTCACCCGCCGCTCCAGCTGCCTCTTGTTCTGCTGCTCCACCTCCAGCTTGTCCTCAAACTCCTGCTGGAGCCGTTTCTTGGTGAAGTCCACCTCCCGCACAGCCCGCTCGTACTTCAGCCGCCACTCGCCACCTGTGGGGTTGAGGCAGACAAGGGAGGATGGAGGTGCTGAGAGTCCCCAGAAGGGGCAGAGGGGAAGGAGGATGGGGCAGGGGGAGCAGCAGGTGGAGTCAGCCAGGGCTCAGAAAGCTCTCTGTAATGACGGCTTCCTTCCAAGGCAGAAGGAGCCACTAGCCAGGAGAAGAACAGAGCGAGAGATGTGGCTACATGTGCTGTGCCTCCCCCAGGGACTGCTGGGACCATGGCCCTCAGTCTTTGTCATGATCGTGGTTGTTACAGCTCTGCCTAACAATCCCCTGCATTTATTGGCACCTCTGCCTTCTCATCTGTTTCTTTCACTTTAGCTCATGGAGGGGAGACAGGCCTGGACAAGGGACATGACTACCCAGGGGTGGGCATCAGGGCTCGCATCGCAGGCCACTGCCGAGCTGCTTGGGCCTCAGGCCCACCTGCATCATCATCATCCACTTCCCCGTTGATCTCCGCTGCCCGGATGAGACGGGCCTCCATCACTTCCATTTCCATAACCTCCATCTGCTTCTTCAGTGCATCATACTGGGTCTGCAGAAGACGGGGTTTCAGGGTATGCCATTCTGTCCCCTCATACCCACTCCCTGAACCACACAGACCATGCTTACATGCTTACCCAGGGCAGACAGGGATGCTGGGCTAGGGGTGAAGACGCCAACTGTTTTTGGGGGGAGCCAGTGGGCACTATGGTGTGGCAGTCACCAGCCTGCTGTTCTCACCCAGGCCCTGCCCTCACCTGCAATTCCTTCATCTCCTTCTCAGCCCGGAGCCTCTCTGCTGTCTCCGCGTCCAGCAGCTGGGAGGCAGACTCTCCTGTGTTACGCTCATCTGTCAGCTCCGATGTCAGCTCCGAGATCTGGGGTTGGGGGTAGGGAGTCACCACCAATTGAAGTGCCTGCCTCACTCAGCCAGAACACCTGGGGGACCTGCAGGGGCTGCGTCTCCCTGCAGCCATGCCCAGTTGGTGTGGTGCCAGGAGTCACTCACCCGGCTCTCCAGCCGGTCACTGTTGAGCCGCAGCTCGTTCCGCTCCTTTTCCACCTTCTCGAGCTTGCTCCGCAGCTGCTGGATCTCCTCCTAGGGTGGACCAAAGAGAGCAAAGTGAGCCAAAGGCACTGCGAGGGGTTGGGGCCCTGGGTCTGCACCCCTGTAGTGAACGAAGATGATGAAGCTTGGGCCAGGACACCATGGGAGGAAGCATGTCCCCAATAGCAGAGCCACTGCCTCCTGGGAATCCTGTCCCTAGATCCTTCCCAATAAGCTAAAGATGCCCAAAATTTTATCGTTAAGAGGCTGCCCAGGGGCTCAGCCAGCACCCCAGAGGGACATCTTCTGTTTGCTGAGCACATTTCAAGGATGTGAGCTCTCTGGACTAAATGAAGAAGCGCTTGGAAGTTCAAGCTAAACCGGCAAGGCTTCCCCTCACCCAGGGACTCGGCCCTCCCAGGCTGTCACATACGTCTTTGTTCCGGATCTGCTCCTCTGACAGCTGTACTTCAATGAGGGGCCTCACTGTGGTAAAGAGCTTCCACCAGGGCCAGTCCTTCACCCCTTTGTTCTTCTTGATGTTCTTCTGAACACAGCGAATGGCCAGGTCCTGGATCTGCAGGTGGGGTGGGGGTGGCGCACAGTGCGGTTCTCAGTCACCTTGGCCAAGCTCGGCCCAGGATCCTCCCCACCATCAGCACAGGCCCCCAGGGCTGCTCTTCTGGCCTCCTGACCCCGAGTCAGATATTTCCCATGCTCCCCCTTGCCCCAGGCTCCCTCCATCCCTCAGAGGGTGGGCAGCACAGAACCCAGCCCTGGGAGCACCGCGCTGGGCACTAGCCGCTCCGCTGCCATTAGGAATAATTTCATCTGCTTTATTTGCTGCCTGATTATTTCCAGCACCCTGGCCTAGCTGTGCTATAAAACCTAATCTTGCTGAAACACAAGAGGCGGCAGTGCTGGCTGTTTTATGGACTTGCTAATAAGAAAAGGAGTCGCTGACACAGCTCCTTAATCTTCATGGAGCAGCCTATGATCCAGAGCCCACCTTTGCCTGGGCCCTGATTCCCCTACCCCTCAACAAAGCCCTCCAACCAGGCCCCGTTGCTGGGCACACCAGCACACTTGCTGGCACCAGGGAGCTGCCCGTTCCCCACCCTGGCCCAGGACATGGTGGCCTGGGAGGTTCCTGCCTCTTCTCCCCCTCATAGCCCCCACCCCAGGAACTTGGCCGTGCCCATCTAGGTTGCGGGGGGAGGGGATGTCCCTAGAGCAGCACCTTTCTCTTCTTGAAGTGCTGGCGGGCCAGGTAGCCCCGGCAGGCTGCTTGGAAAAGGGTTAGGTTCCTGCTGGTTTGTTCGTCCCGCTGCTCCTCTAGCCGTGCCAAGGTACCCGCCCGGAAGAACACCTGTGTAAAAGCAGGTCAGGTGAAGGCAGGAGACTGGGCCAGCCCAGCAGAGGAAAGGGAGGGAAGGTGAGGAACTGGAGAAACAAGCAGGCCAGGGAGTACAGCCCTTCGCTTGGGAAGAGCCTCAAAATCCAATTGTCCAAGAGAGGAGGGGAGGAGCAGGAAGAGGCCCTGGGAAGGCTGAGGGAGAAGGGGCTGGGGAGGTTTTGGCAGGGGAGGAGTAAGGTGTGAAATTTAACTTCAAAGAAAGATGAAAGGAGAGGGAAAGTAAAGGGAAGATATCTGGGGCAAGGAAGGAAATGGAGCAGTCACTGGTCAAACAGGGAGGGGGCATCCTGCCACATCTGTGAGGGCTTCCTCACCCAGGACTGCCAGCAACCCTGTCAATGCCCCCTGTGCCCACAGCCCACTGCAGGGCCCAACCCGGGCTCCAGCCCCCTCTGACTCCCAACTGCTGGGATCAGGGGGAGTGGATGCCAGAGGATGTCTGCGTGAGAAGCAGTGCTGGGGAGAAGCATGCAGAGGAAAAGCAGGGAGAATGGGAAGAAGGGTGGTGGGAAGCTCCTGCCTTCTCCTCCCCCTCCCTGCTAGTTTCATTTCAGATGGTCTCCTCTTTCATGAGCCACCCCCCCAACACACACCCAAGTTTCACCTTCTCATGAAGAAGCCAGTGAGGTGGGCGGGGGTTGGCCCAGCTGAGGGACCTGTCATACAGGTTTGGGGGCTGGAGGGCAGGCATGTGCAGAACCAGCTGGGCGCCCCCACACCCGGCCTTTCCTTAACACTCTGTGCTGCCCTAAGATAGGGCTTGGTAAAATTTGCCACACGCCACAAAGAGGAGTGTGTGTGAAACGGGAAGGGTTGGGTGAAAAAAATCACTCTGTATCCATGAGAGTGGGCGGAGACACCTAGGTATAGGCCTACCTCCATCTGGCACAGAACACAGAAAATTCCTTTTTGTGGGGCAAAGAGAAGATGTGAACGTGATGGGAAACAGGTTACGTAAATGCACTGAGAGCCAACAGGCACAGTATCCCAAGGCCCCCTTCAGCAAATATGCAAAGAGAGGGCCTAAACTTTCTGCTGAGAAAGCTCTGCCTCTGGCGACTCCACAGAAACCTGGTCCCCTGAGGCTGGCCTTGGAAAAAGCCAGCTCAGTCCTTTGTGACACTTCCCTAAATCCCACCATCGAACATGGGGTCTCCCATGGGTCCTAAGTTCTACCTGAGCCTCAATTTCTTTTCTTTAAATTTATTTTGAACGGTCTTGCTCTGTCACCCAGGCTGGAGTAAAGTGGTGTGATCATGGCTCACTGCAGCCTCTACCTCCCAGGCTTAAGCTATTCTCCCACCTCAGCCTCCCCAGTAGCTGGCACTACAGGTGTGCACCACCATTGCCAGCTAATTTTTGTATTTTTTTGTAGAGATGGGGTCTCCCTATGTTGCCCAGGCTGGTCTTGAACTGTTGGCATCAAGTGATCCTCCTGCCTCAGCCTCCCAAAGTGCTGAGATTACAGACATAAGCTGCCGTGCCCGGCTGCTCAATTTCTTTCTCTCTTTTTTTGGGGACAGAGTCTTGCTCTGTCACCCAGGCTGGAGTGCAGTGGTGCAATCTCTGCTTACTGCAACCTCCACCTCCTGAACTCGAGCGATTCTCATGCCTCAGCCTTCCAAGTAGCTGGGACTACAGGTGCCCGTCACCAAGCCCAGAAAATTTTTTTGTATTTCAGTAGAGATGGGGTTTCACCATGTTGCCTAGGGTGGTCTCAAACTCCTGGGTTCAGGCAATCTGCCCACCTCAGCCTCCCAAAGTGGTAGGATTGCAGGCGTGAACCACCACGCCTGGCCCCCAGCTGCTTAATTTCATATAATGTGCAAGTCTGAAATCCCACTGGGGGTAAAAGGAATATCCAAGTCCCACCAGGGGACAGCAAACATGCTTGGTTAGGACACATAGCCACCTGACCAGGGCAGAAGTGAGGTGCTGGAGTGGGGGGTGGATAATGGCCCAGAGACACAATGAGAAGAGAAAGAATGGTCTAGAGGCCAAAGCAGCGAGCCTCAAATCTCTCTTGAACATTTGTGGGGTTAAGGGTCCTTCTGGGTATTGGGTGAAAGCTCCAGGCCATCTCCTCCCCAAAATACACATTCATACAAATTTTACAATGTCAGGAGGCTCTGAGCCCCCCAAAGTCCTTATTGAAACTCTCAGGGTCCCATGGCTCAGATGAAGACCCCCTCCCCTGAAGCAATGTGACACACAGGGAATCCCTGCTCACGAGTCAGTGTTAACCAGAGCCTAGACGGCCTGAACTTTCTTTCCCAAACTAGATGTGAGCAGGCACCCAGTGTTGGCCCAGCTCTGCCCTTGAGTGACAGTGCGCCCTGGGGCTTGCCTGCCTCAGCCGGGCACCTGGCATGGCTCAGGACGACAGAAGGACTGAGATGGCAGCTGGGAAGAGGATCAGCCTATACAGGCCCTTTCCTGCCCTGCCCGAGACAGGCCTGGGAACCCAGGCATGGGCTGGAGGAGGTGCCATCCCCAATGGCAGCCAGCAGCAGCTCAGCCTGCTTGAGAGGCAGGAACCTGGCGGGAAAGACCAGGGTGACGGGACCCAGGGAGAGACCCTGCAGCTGAAGTAAAGCCTGACAGCAGGCGGCCCTAGGCAGGGGCCCTAGATGGCAGCCCCAGCTTAAAAAAGTGGGGGGAGCGGAACAGACAGAGAGAAAAGAGCTGAGCCAGACACAGAGGTAGACAAAGCAGTGACACAAACCAGAAAATGACACAGAAAGAGAATGGGACACAAAGATACAGAGAACAAGGAGAGAAACAGAAAAACAGAACCAGAAACCAAGGAATAGAGACCAGCAGGGACTGCTGGGGCCAAAGGGAAAGCCAGGGACGGCAGAAGCAAAGATGGGAAGATGCAAAGACACAGAGATGGGAGCGATTGACAGTGAGGGAGGGCAGGAGGAGCCAGGAAAGCGACTCAACATGCAGGGCCGAGAGGACCAAGCACACAGGACAAGTGAGACTCAAGCCTCTGCAAGCACCTCCTTGCACCGCACACGCCCCACGGGACCCTGCAACCCAGAGTTCCTTCCCTCTCTGCCGGCAGACAACCAGCCCAGAGCCCTCTCTGGCTCTCCACTGGCCTCCTTTCCATCCCAGCCCTGGGGCACGCATGCGGGTGCCCCCTGTCCAAGCTTCCCAGGCTCGGAAGAGAGGGGCATGCAGGGCTTCCTGCCTGTGGGAGGAATGCTCAGCTGACCCTTTGGTGAGGAGTGACGCGGCAAACTGGCACCCAGGGGCCGGCGTGCCTGCATTTTACGCACAGCATTCCATTCAGATGAGGAATTCGGCCTGTGGGCAGGTGGTGGCGGCACAGCCTCACCATGTCCTGCTTGCTCTCTGGAACCCAGCAGCCCCAGGTAACTCTCCACAGGGGCTCTACCCAAGGCCTCCTGCCTCTTCCAGCCCACATCCTCTGGGTCCAGCCCTCCAGTCTCCCCTACTCCCCACACCAGGACTCGGGCCAAGTTCAGGGCCACCTTCCACCCACTCTCTCCTGACATCACAGAGGTGTTCCTGGCACTGAACAAGCCAGTTATCCAGAAGGAAGGAAAGTCAAGTTGCTGCATCTGAACCCTCTAGCTCCCTGGCCCCTAGCCCTGAAGGGGGCAGCCCCTGAGTGGCTGGGCGGGGTGGAGCTAGGGCAAGACTCAGAGGGCACCAGGAGACCAGTGATGTCTGGCTGAGCAGCAAGAACAGGAGGAGTGGGCCAGCCACCCAGGGGCCCCTGGAGTGAGGCCTGACTGCCCTCCTGTGGGACAACTCACCCGGCTCAGGCCCATGCAGCAGCTGCTCTTCTCCAGATCCAAGCACTCCAGCAGCTCCTCCACCGCCTGTAGAGAGAGGCCTCCGTCAGGCAGCCTGCCTGGGTCTCCCCTCACCATGCAGGGCTTCCTCCAGGCCCTTGGTCCTTCCCCTCCCTCCTCCTAGACAGTCTGTTACTCATGCACTTGTGTGGGCTTCCTCAGTGTCAGGCATTGGGTTGGACTCTGGGGACACAGAGGTGACTACAAGAGGAACAAAGCATCTTGCTGGGGAGCAAGACAAGTGAACTACTGCAGTGCCCACAGGAGGTGGCACCTACACGAGGCACCTCAGACAGCTCTTGGTTGTGCTGAGAACTTCTGATACAAGTGAGAATTTGCTGGACCAAGTAGGGGAGAGGGCATTTCAGGCGGAGGAACCAGTGTACGCAAAGGCCTGGGAGCACAAGACAGCAAAATGCACTGAGGAAACTCCAAGTCACTCACTGGAACTGGGATGGGGGGTGGGTAGTGAAGGTGCAAATAGAGAGGGGGCTGGAGCCAAAGCACGTGGAGCCCCGTGTGCTTCGGGAGCCCCTGAAGGGTTCTCTCAGAGATGGGCATGATCAGGTCTGCACTGGTAGAGGTCTCACTGGCAAATGGGTAGATGGATGGAGACCTACCCCTCTTAGGCAGTAGTCCACAGGAAGGGAGGCTAGAGCCTGGCCCAAGGGGAAGAGAAGAAGAGAACACACAGCAGGTGTTAAGGAGACAGAGCCTTGCCTGATATGGGGATAGGGTATGTAAGGAAGAATCTAGGGCTATACTGAGATTTCCGATTGACATAACTAAGCAGATAATGGTGCCATTCTCCAAAGTAGGGAATATAAGAGAAAGAGCCGACCTGTGGGAGACAGAATGAGTTTGGTTTGAAAAAGCTGAGTCTGAGATGCCATAAGGGATAGGGGTAGAGAAGTCCAGAAGGCAGTCAGATAGAAATGTATGTCTGGAGCTCAGGAGAGAGGCCTGGGCTAGAGGTATTGATTTGGGAGTCATCAATATATATGCAGTAATTGAAGTGATGAGTGTGAATGAGGTTGGCCAGGAAGAGGGTGCAGAATAGAAAATACATATGGCCAAAGACGAAGTCCTGAGGAAGACACCTCTTTACTTCAGGGGCAAGTGGAAATGAGGAGCTCAGAGGGAATGAGAACAGAGGCAAGGGGGAAACCAGGAGTGGCAGCAAAGAGGCCCAGGAGAGGATGTCCCAGAAAGAATGGAGCCCCGTGCTGCTAAGAATTCAAGTAACAGAGGGATAGAAAGTGCCGGTTGGCTGTGGCAATATGGAGGGGATGAGAAGACCAGTGCCAGGGCATCAGGGAGAGGGACCAGGCAGTCATGGGCGGTGAGGGCAGCAGGAAGAAAGCCCAGGGCAGGCAGGAGGCAGAGCACAGTACAGGGAGATGATGACAGAGGTGACAGAGGCTCCTTCCAGAGAGCAAAACCTGCAGGTCTGTGGGGGAGTTTCTCCATGGAGAGAAAAGGGCCAGGAGAAAAGGAGATGCTGGAGGAAAAAGACAGAGAAGCAAATTCACACGGATAGAAGGGGTCTCTGGGGAGACCCAAGGAAACAGACTCCAAGGCACTGGATGAGAGGAGGGACCCTCCCCACCAAGACAGAAGGTGTACAGGAATAAGGAGGCCAAGGAAGAGAGGTTTGCAGGAGGCAGGAAAAGAAGCTGGAGCCTGATGTCCTGAGATCTGGAAGTTGGGTATCTGCTGAGAAGGTGAGCCAGAAAGGTGGGGTGGGGAGGATTTGAGGAGAAAGATGGAGAATGGAATAGCAGATAGGAAGCCTGGAGTCACGGTCAGATAAGAAGGGGACATCTAGAAGACTTGCTGGTTCCCCCCGAGGGCCCACCAAAGGCTGAAGACCATGAACCTGTAGGAAGTCAAGTCCACAAAGTTGTATAATTTTCTTCCACCACCCTTGGGAGCCCAAAGTGAGGAGTGCAGACACCCAAAGCCTGGCACTTTGGGGTGGGAGTTTGGCAGGCCAGTTGCTGCGGGAGGCTCAGGAGGGCTGAGGGCAATGGAGGCAGAGTGACTGCAGAGTGAACCATGGAAAAGGAGACAATTGACAGAGAAACGGAGTGTGATCCAGAAAGAGAGGTCCTGATGGAGCTGGAGAGCAGGTGCCCTGAGGGGAAGAGAGGTGTGGGACCAGCAGGCAGGAGGCTGTGGTCAGAGAAGGTCACGCTGGGATTTATGATTTCAGAGGTGGGGCATTTCCAGAGCTGATGAGGTACTGGTGTAGCCACAGGTGGGAGGCTGGAATGGAGGCTGAGGCCCATGAGAAGGGGGCGTGGGATGGGCATCGATGTCCACACGAGGTTGCCCAGGCCACCAGCAGGCCAAAGGACGGAAGAAAGTTCTTCCGAGCCCCGTCTATGAATTCAGGTCTTTGAGGCGGGGGTGGAGGGGCAGGGGGGCACACACAGGCTGGGCACTCTGTGGGTTTTCTGCCCCATTCTGCAGCATCCCCTCCTTTTAGGGAAGCCATCCTAAGGTCTGAGATGTTTTCAGAATCAGGATGGGTGCCTGAGGCCCAGCACAGTAAAGGAGGGGTCCTCTGCTCTGGGAGCCCTGTGACTGTCTAAGGGGCTGCCTCTGGGGCTCAACATGACAGCCCAGACGGGCAGGGACACCCCTTCCGCAGCCGCGAGTTCACCACCCAGGGCCGGAAAGGGCCCAGCAGCCTGTGTTCACCTGGCACCACAGAGGTCTCGCCATATCCACCTTCCTTCTAGGAGGAATGTTCACCCAGCCCTGGACAGTTTCCTGCTTCAGGAACCAATCCCTGACATGGGGGCCAGGCTGGGGGCCCAGTTGCCGTCAGTGGGGCTCCCAAGGCACTAATAATTCTCATGTGCCCCCAGTGGGCCCAGGCCCTGCTCGCTCCTAGGATGATTGTCTGACCCACCAGTGAGCAGACACCCCCAGCTCAGGCCTCCAAGGAGGGAATGGCTCTTCTCCAGCTCCTACGGTCTGGGCCCCAGGACACAGCTGGGTGCTTCCAAAACCAGGAGCCTGAGCAGGGCCAGATGGGCTGTCTCCCGGGGAGGGAAGGCAGATGAATCTGGGAAGGGCAGCTGCTTGAGGGGCCTGGGCAGACAGAGAGTGGTCTGGGGACCTGGACCTACCCGCCTTTCATCCACCACGATGTAGTTACGCCCGTGTTTCTTGGTCAGGTGCGGGGCCAGGACATCAAAGCGGCGGCGGAACTCAGAAAACACCATGTGGTCAGGGTAACCTGGAGAGAGCAGCCCAGAGCCAGGCCCGTCAACGCTGCCTGCTCCCAGCACACCCCAGTAGCCACTGGTGCCTGGGCAGTCAGTGGACAGTCACCAAAAGGGAAGAAACTGCAGCGGGTGGGGAGCCTGTGGTTGAAGGCAGGCCTCGAAAGTAGAGTGGGGAGTCAGGGAAGAGGAAGAGGAGGCCAGGAGGACAATCAGGCCTGCTCCACAGGGGGACAGGAAGGCCTGAAAAAGGAACAGGCTCCTTCAGAAAGAAGTAAGCTCCTAGTCAGTGAGGTATGCAAATGGGAGGTTGCGGGGCAGCTGACCAGCTCGGAGGAAGGCTACGTCCCAATCCCCAAGATGTTTTCTAGCCCTCCAAGTCTATGTCTCAGTGATAACGCAGACAGAACAATGTCCTGTGGTCTTTAAAAAAAAAGAAAAAAAAAAAGGACACCAGGCCAGGCGTGGTGGCTCATGCCTATAATCCCAACACTTTGGGAGGCCAAGGTGGGAGGATCACTTAAGGCCAGGAGTTTGAGACAAGCCTGGCCAGCATGGTGAAACTCCGTCTCTACTAAAAATACAAAAAAGTAAGCTGGGTATAGTGGTCCATGCCTGTAGTCCCAGCTACTCAGCAGGCTGAGGCAGGAGAATCGCTTGAACTCAGGAGGCAGAGGCTGCAGTGAGCCAAAATCACACCACTGCACTCCAGCCTGGGAGACAGAGCAAGACTCTGTCTCAAAAAAAACAAAAAACAAAAAAAGGCACCAGAGTAGCTGAAAGGAATCATGCATTGGCTAGGTGCTGGATTCCTGGCCCTGCCTCTTAGGATCATGTGACCTTGGGCCAGTCACTTAACCTCTCTGAGCCTCAGTGTCTTCACCTTTAAACGGGGGCCCTAGCACTTATCTCGCATGGTAGTCATGGAGATTAAATGAGAAACCAAGTAAAAAGCACAGTGTGACTCACTTGCTTGGCATTTAATAAACACTTCTTTTCCCCCTCCGTCCACTGAAGCAGGACATCAGAAAGGCCGCCCTCCTTGCCTCATCCTGACCTTGAGTCCTAGGCCAGGTGACCAATAAGACTTGTAGATTCTCTTTCCCCGAAGAGTGTCTGGGCTTCAGGTCAGGGGAGGTGTGACCTGACTTTTGGCTTGGAGCAAGGTGGCTTTTGGCTTGGAGCAAGGTCAGAGCAGTGGCTAGCAGGAGGTGACCCCAAGTCACCCTGATCTTACCAGAGCCCAGGGTGGAGGGCCACGAACTCCACTCCCACAGAATCACAGAATTTCAAACCAGAAAGGGTTTCTTCTTAAACCAGATCTGACTCATCTTTCAGACATAGAAATGGAGGCCTGGGAGGAGCGACTGGCTTGCTCAAGGTCACAAAGGCTGCCGCTGGGGGCAGAACTGGCTTCCAAACCTGGACTTCCGACAGTCAGCCAGGGACTCGCTCCACAGCAATGATGGACTAGCTGGCTCTGGGAAACCCTCCAGCTGGGAGGTGAGGCTGATGCATGTGCCTGATAATTGAAACAGGAGGCGGGGGCTGCTGAGGGGCCAAGACAAAGTGAGCTATTGATTGTATCTGAATTGCAATTAAATTGATGGGCCAGGATAGCAGGTCTGGACGCCTGGCATCTTAATTAATCATCAGTGCTATCGTCGGTGGCTGGGGGCCGGGTGAGGGAAGGGGGGCCTGCTGCTGCTGGCCTCATCGATCAGCTTGTTTGAGTAAAGCACATTGATTTTGGTTCAGAGCGGTAACAATCTGGTTTTGAAATAATAAACACCAACTCCATATCAAGACGTGGGGACAGATCGATGATTTATTTAGAGCAGGGCAGGGAGCCCGTTTCCTGGCTTGGGCTGCTAAAGAAAAGTGACAGTGCCCATGGGAATGCCTGAAGGGGACCTGGCTGTGGGTGGGTCTACCTGCTCTTCTAGCAAAGGAGAAAAACATCAGAAACTCAGCAACTCATAACTTCTCAGGCAAAACAACAACAACAAAAACAACAACCAAAAAACCCCACTTGAGAGACATGAGACATGACTCTACAGCCAGCCTGCCTGGTCAAATCCCACTCTGCCGCTCAGGAGCTGTGTGACCTTGGGCAAGCTACTTAACCTCTCTGAGCCTCAGTCTCCTCATCTGGAATAATAGCAGTGTGCTATCATGATAGCGGTGTGCTATCCCGGCCCCCAGCCACCGACAATAGCTTCTATGGACTCTAAGTAACCACTAATACTATCATCCTCTATGTCTCCTCTTTTAGATGGGCCCATAAAAAAGGGTCTGACTGACCTTTCTTGGGAGTTTTAAGTACTTCAGAAAGATTTAGCACCTCATTTCTCATTAGGCAGATGGCTCCAAAAGGGCACTGGGTTTGCTGCTGTGGGCAAAGTTGAACTGTCCAAACTAGGGACGTGAGGAGAAAGGGAGCTGTGGACAAATGACAAGGCGCGGGGTGGAGCTGGGAGGGGAGAGGGATGAAGAGAACTGAATACGGAAGGGAGAGGAGGAGGCGGGGACTCTGCAGGATGGAAAGAAATGGAGAAGGGAAGGGGCTGTGGGCTGGGAGAGATGAGAGACCAGAGCAGAAAGGATCGTGAGGAAAGAGACAGGAGCAGCCCCACTGCAGCCCACGGGTCCCAGGTGCGAGGTGGGGCAGGGCAGAGCCAGCTCTGGAAAAGAGAGCCCAAAGTGGAGAGGAAAGGAGGCCCCACCTTGGCGATACATGCGCATGGCATCGAGCAGGCGGGAGCCGCGGAGCTGGGTGCGGAGCAGGGGCACGTCGAGCTGCAGGAGCCCAGCCTCGCAGTGGTCTCCGGAGGGCAGGTCCAGCTCACTGCTGCTGCTGACTCGGCGGGAGGAGGCGGAACGGGGCTCCCCAGCCCAGCCCTCAGCCACAGGCAGGAAGCAGTGCACAAAATGCAGCTTCGACTTCTTGATGGTGTCGATGAGGGCATCCTGCCAAGGGGAAGGGACCGCCCTCAGTGGGCTCTGATGGCCTGTGCTCAGAAGAGCAGAGACTGGTGCCAGCGTCTCCACTGCTCACGGGGTAGCAAGGGCGCCAGCACCAGCCAGGACCTACTAAGCCTGGACAACTCTGCCCTCGCTGGGCCTGGGTGGCCACTCACAGGTGGCAGCACTGAAAAAGAAGACGCCACCAGCAGCCATCGAGTCACAGCGCGACGCTGAGTGGGCACCAGATGGCCTCAGTGTGCTCGGAGTCCCCAGGCCTGCCTGCCAGGGGTAAGGAAGAGTCCCCAGGCCTGCCTGCTGGGAACCGGTTGGCACTCACCACTTGCAGCTTCATCTGGATGCACAGTGACTTCTTTTTGACAGCCGCCATGCCCGTGGTAAAGGTCTTCCGCATGCTGGTGGCCCGACGCAGTGCCAGCTGCGAGCCGCCCTCCAGGCCCGCAATGGAGCCAGAGAGCACCGTGGCACTGCCTGCGCGGCCCAGAAACAGGTTGCTGATGATTTTTCTGCCAGAGGTGGGAGGATAAGGGAGGAAAAGCAGTCACATCGATGGAGCGGAAAAGGCCGCTCCTCCCCCAAGGCCCCAGAGCACCAAACAGTCCCATTCAGCCATGTCCAGGGGCCTGGCTACCTGAACTGCATGCCCCACACCCTACAGAGAAACGAACAGTGGAGAAATTTTCAAACAATACGGAGAGAAAGCCAGAGGTGGGCGGAAGCCAAGGGGTGGACAGGAATTGGACAGAGGGGAGCGATCTACTCATCTACTTCCACTCACCAGGGAGGGCAAAGGTGTGGAAAGGTTTCCAATGTGACAGGAGGGGTTAGGGTTCAACATCTTCTAACATACGATATAATTTATTTATTACGTTTACTGTTCATTATCTGTCTCTCCCACTAGAATGTAAATTCCACAAGGGCAGGGAGCTCAGTTTTGTTCACTATGATCTGCCAAACACCTAGAAGCCCCCGTCGCAGGGTAGGTGCCCCTAACCATCTTCTGAAGAGCAGAGCGGATGACAGGGCCTATGGGCCTGGGGGTTTCTAAGGCCACTCCTGCCTTCTTTGACTTGGGGGTGTTCTTCACATTTAAACCATAGGCTCTCCCACCATGTCTGCCTCCCACCTCTACTCCAAGAGGCCCCTCCAGCTCCTCCAGGCCAAGTGCCCTGGGCTGTTGCCTCTCAGGAATAAAGGCCATTTATTTTGCTAGTGAGGGGGCCTCTGAGACAACTCCAGGGGGAGGGAGCCCCAAAATCAAAACAGTCCTGGGTACAGGACAGGGGAGGAGGCAGTGGTGGTCTTACTTCTGGGAGTCCTGCAGGAGCCGGGGGGCATTCTGGGTGGCTGGGTTCTGCTTGGTGTAGTTCAGCCAGCCAGTCACGTTGTACTCTACCCAGTTGGTGCCATGGCTGTGGCCCAGGAGAAAGTGGTGTGGTTTGCTGCTGCGCAGAAGGGGGCTTTGGCCTGACGGTGGGAGAAGCAAGATTCAGGTTGTCAGGGCACAGGCACAAAGTGATCCCCTGCACAGGGAGTGCCACCTAGACCCACCTGTAAGAGGAAGCAGAGGAGCTACCCTCTAGGGATGCCACCTACCTTTTTTGTCACCTTCCTGGGGGCCATAATAGGAGAAAAGGCGCTCCAGGAGGGTGTCCTCACTGGCCCCTGGCACCAGAGCCTCCTCTTCCAATAGCCATAGCAGGCCCCTTGCCTCATCTGTGCGGGCCAGCGAGCGGACCTACAGAGAAGGAAGGAAATCCCTCCTTGTCATATGGAGCTGTGGGAAAGGGGCCAGGGTGGTCCTCAGGCCCAAACACACCGTACAGAATGCTACGCACGTGCACACATGCACGCACGCACACGCTGCAGCTCCTGTCGCTCACTGCTGACACCTTGTGGAGGAGGCGGGCAGCTCAGGGAAAGGGAAGCCAAGAAAGGGAGCAAAGGGAAGCCCACAGCAAAAGAGGGTGCTTAGCACTCCAGTCCAAAGTCACCAAAGACTGCAGCCTTCCTCCTGGCCAGAGCCCACGCCCTGAGGCCCTCCTCCACCCTTTCCCCTCGGAGGTCACCAGGGACTTGGGTGAACCCCATATTGCTCTCACTCCCTGGCAGTGGGATAAAGTCTGGAAGGCCCTGAGCACAAGGGTTGGCCCTAAGGAAGCTGTCAGTAAGTGACAGCTGTGGGGTTAATCCTGGTCTCTGAGAGTAAAGAACCCAGAGGGGGCTCAGATGGCTGCTGGTGGGATCACTGCAGGCTCACTCAAGGACCAAAAGCATAAGACAGGTGACTTAACGGATGTGGCAGCCAAAATGGGCAGAGGCTGGGGCAAGCTAGACAGCAGGTACCCCTATCTACAGGGAACAACCACCACTGAGCTGCAGCCAACTGCTGTCCTGGAAGAACACTGGCCTAGCATTGATAAACCCTCTGGTTCTTCAAGAGAAGGCAGAAATACCCGATTCTGATTTCCAATATCCCAGGAAGGCCAAACAAACTAGGCCTGTGGCCACATCTGGCCTGCAGGTGCCTTTTCTATGGAGTTCCCACATCTTTCTTGGGCAGGAAGGATGGAACCTTCCCCACACCCTATTCCGGCCTGGCCTTTAGGGACTGGAGGAAAAAAGAAGTGAGAAAGGGGCAGTTTTTTCTCTCTTTGACCCCAGCTGCCTGCATCTCCTCCCCACAGATGCCCAAGGGAGCTGGCGTGATTACCAGAAGGAAGCAGAATGTGGCCAAAGGCCAGGGTAACTCTGGCGGCAGGAACCAAGTAGCAGGAACGAGCAATGAAGCAATCAGATGGGAAGACAGGCTTGGCACCAAGGTCCCTTTCCCCAGGGGTGCAGCTGCCCCATGCCAAGGCCCATTAGTCAGGGGAGACCACAGAAGAGAAAGAAGGGCCAAGCTCTTCCCATATGCTGTCTGACCCCTGCTGCTTATGCTGACAGCCCCCTCTTCCGGGAGCCACAACGGTTCTGAGTGAGGCCGTCATAGGAGCCCAGGTGCCAGGAAAAGAAAATCCACTTCCCTGGGGAGATGCGGTGCTTGGGCACTTTAAACATCTGTCCCCGGGGGGTACTCACTCTTTCCCAGTCCCACCACTTGTGCAAGCCAAGCAGGGCCTTATGGCAGAGAAGAGGGAGGGAGAGGCAGGAATCAAAGCACAGGACGGAGATTGGCGGCCTCGCAAAAATGCCAGTTCGCCAATAAAGCACCTTATGCAATTCCCCTAATGGCGGACAATCGCCAAATGCCAAGGTGCCCAGGACACTAGCACAAAGGGTGACAAAGCCTGCCCCCAAGGTTGAGGGGCGAGGGTTCATATCCATGACAGCCCCCTAGAGGGCATTTGACAGCTTGGCACTGTTTCCCCTGGGAGTGGGAGGCTGCCTCCTGGCCCTGCTCTGTTAGGTTGCACCAGTCCTCTACTTGGGGACAATGGGAGGGAATGACTATGTCCTCGGGGTCTGGGCCCTCACCACCTGGGACTGGTCACCAGGGCTCCTGGCAGACACACTGGAGGCTCAGCCAGTCACCAGCTGGGGCCTGAGCCTCAGAGGCTGAGAAAGGAGATATGCTTTCCTGCCTGGCTGGGACACCCGTGGGCTGTGGCTCCCCAGGGCACTAGAGCAGAAGAAAGTGCCACCTTCCTGGCCAGACTGCGTGAGTGCTAAGGGGCAGAGCCCCAGCGCCATAGAGTAGTTGGTGTCTGGGCATGACTGCTGGACCCTCCCTCAGCCCACAGTGGCACTCCTGGCAGCAGCTCAGATGGAGAGGGCTCCACCACAGGGAGCCGGGTGGGAAATGAGAGGAAAGGCAAACCCTCTCTGCAGCTCCTACCAGGGACTGATGGGAGGCCTGGTCCACAGCAGCCACAGAGTCATCCGTGGGGGACTCCAAGTCATCAAACGCCAGCTCGATGTTCTCCTGGGAAGGAAGGCCGAGCAGTACTGAGCATGGGGGTCACGTTGTGGGGAACAGCCCTGTGAGCAGGCTGGGAGGGAGCTCTGAGATCTGCAAGGCCAACCTTCTTCAGTGCCGTGCAGGAGCTCCCTCCGTCATCCCAAATGAAACGGCTCCCAAGGCAACACACTGTATTTTTTGCACAGCTAAAATTCTCCGAACCTCTTTTTATCCTAAGCCAGAGTCACATTCTCATTACTCACATCAGTTGATTAGGCAACACAGAGCAAGCCCACTCTCAATTTCACACAATCATCCTTGAAACACTTGAAGACAACTGCCATTTTCCTTCTGAATCCTTTCTCGCCCCAAATAAATATCCTGACAATTCACTCAACTCATTTCCAGATGAGGCAGGATTTCCAGTTCTCATCCCATCAGGGACACCCTTTTACAGAAGGCACTAAGTCATCATCTGTCACCCTCACAGATCAGGGAAGGGAGACAGGAAGGCCAGGCCCAGACACACTTGGAGCAGGAACCACACAGTGGCAATCACTGGGCCTGGGAGGTGCCTCAAAAGAGGCCAAGGGCGGTCTCCTCAGGGCCCTCAATGCACCTGTAGGCTTCCTGGAGAGTAAATTCTCCACCAAGTAAGAACGTAGCCAAAGCCAGAGGCCAGGGACAAGGGGGCAAGGAACGACTGCTGCTCCAGAGAGTGCAGGAGGACAGAAATGGAGAGTAAGGTGGTGCCTTCTGCATCCACAGATGCCCTCTCTAGGGGTGCCAAGGCCAGAATCTGAGGCCAGGTGAGGCCCAGGCCCCAGAGCTACCTCCTTGTATCTTTCCAACTCCTGCACGAAGGTGCGTTCGTGGAAGAGCCTCTGCAGCCGGTCCTGGGTGTAGTTGTGGCACAGCTCTTCAAAGGAGGCTCCGCGGGCCGACCCACCCTGCTCAGGGTTCTGGAAACCTGGGGTGTCGACAATCATCATGGAGCAGAGCGAGTGCTGGCTGGACTTGAGAGCCCTGGATAGGGACAGCCTGGGTCAGAGCCCCGCTGGTTGGCCTCTGGCACCAGGAAGCCCCACCCTGCCCCAGCCAGACTTCCATCCCTGCCCAGGTGCCCAGGACCCTGGCGGGGGAGGGCGTGCTGGCCTTGCTCATAGCCCACAGTACAGGGAGACCCTGCTGGAGGAGGCCGGCTCTGCCTCGGCCAACCAGGCACAAAGGCATCTACTCCACCTCTGCCAAAGCAGGAAAAGCCCTGGGTCCTGCCTGGCACTCACCTGTTCACCAGGGAGACGAGAAGGGTGAAGAGCTCGCTGTAGAGGCCAGCCGCCATGCCCTCAAGGCACTCCAGCGCACTCAGTTTCGGGCCTGTGGGGCAGGGGGAGCAGCGCTATCTCCTGCTCTGCAGGACTCCCCACCTGGGTAGGCCCCTGACCTGCCCAAGGCCCAGTCAGCACGGGGCCTGGGGCAGGGCCTCTGCCACTGACAGAGCATCTGTTCACTCCAGCAATCCCCTCCAGCCCCAGGGATGGCAGCAAGGCCGGGATGAGGCCTCCCGCTCACAACCATCAGCCAAGGGACAAAGCGTACCTGTCCCATCTCCCAGGCCACTCTCCTCGGGGCCCTGGCGGAAGGAGGTGGAGCGCTGCAGAGTGCCACCCTTGTGCTGGTGCTTGAAGATGGCTGAAGACAGCTCCTCCAGGCTGCAGCCCAGTAGGTACGCAGCCTTCTGGGCCCACTCATGGCGGGCAAACTGCTTGCGCCCAGCTGTGGAGTGGAAAAAGGGATCTGGCATCCTGGGTCTTTTTCCTTAGGCCAGCTGATGACCTGATGACCAGCTGATGACTATGCATCTTCTGGGGGCAAAAACCAGCCCTGATGACACCTGATGGGCTTTAGGCAGAATAGGGGCAGCCAGCAGTGGCCAGCATTTCCTGTGTTCCATGGGGATGGAGAGAATGAGCAGGTCCTAAAGTAGGCGGTAACTCCACATGCTGCCACCGGAGGGCAACAAGCCGGTTGCAAAAATCCCTTTTCAGACAGCTCAGCTCCAGGGGTGCCGAAGTAGGGGAAGGGCGGACGAACCAGCCCACCTGGGATGGGCACAAGAACCCTGTGTGCCTGTGGGGGATTTATCTTGAGAGATCGCTCATGCCTCCTCATTCCCTGGGTGCATTAGAACCCTCCCTCTTGCCCCCCTGGCATCTGCCAGTGGAGACCACAAACACCCACTGATGGCCCAACAGTGGGGAGGCAAAAAAGCCGCAGGGGAAAGGGAACAGCTCGCACAGACGTATGTGCCTCAGCCAACATGTGTCTAATCACGGCAATTAGGGAAAGCTAACAAGAAACAAAGTTTTACCTTCAGCAGCTTCTGTAAGGCAAAGGACCAGCATGCAGCATGCAAAGAAAAACAGTGTGTTAGCAAACAGTCATCAACGGGGCTTGCCGCCTCGAAGGGACCGTGGGGCGGGGCTGTTGTGAGGATGAGCAGGCAAGAAAACACAACTACAGCCAGACTTGGGACAAATGCAAACACACACACACAGTCTCCAGGGAGTATGTTTGTGGGTGTAATCACACTGACACATACAGGAAGAGACCCACAAAGACATTCATGCACATGTGTGCGCGCGCACACACACACCCTGGAAAACACTGGAAGCTCTGAGGCGCTAACAGACATTGCTCGACAAGGTCCCTGTGAAGCGCTAACAGACATTGCTCGACAAGGTCCCTGTGCTGACACCCGGAGCTCTCTGCTTGCAGCTGGGGCTGGGTAGGTTAGAGGAAAGCTAGGCTTGTCACCACCTCAGAGTGAAGCAACTTCCCTCAACACACAGCCACACGCCTGCCTGCCTGTCCGTCCTCCACATTCTCAAAACAACTTCCCTAACTCAGAGCCTGGCTCCTCCTGGGCAGGGATGCCACTTCTTGGGGTCGCACGGAGCCTCACGCCCGGGCATCCATTCCTCCATGCACCCACCACCCGCCAGGGCTTTCTCACTCCAGCTGAGCAGCCTGGGGCCCTTCACATCCCAGAAGGGGACAAAGCCAAAGCGCAAGGTGCTGTTCAGCACTAGCATCCCCTTTCCCTAAACTGTAGAAAAAAGGGGTGAAGAGGTGCTCAAATCGCCACCCTCCAACGTAAGTCATCTTGAAGGATGGAGCAGAGCTCCTCCAAGCCAGGCCAAGTCCCCAAGCGCAAAGTGCCAAAGCTGCAGCCCATTCGTTACCACGGTGCCTACTGCCCCCTAGTGGCCGCCACCTTGACATGCAAGAGGAAGATACGCAGCTACCCAACCAGTGGAGAGAAGAAAAGAGGACTGGGGAAAACTGGTCTCCGGAGGCCCCAGGAAGCAAGCCCACCCTACCCCACCCCATGGTGGGCATCCTGAGAGGTTCCAGGATTCAGATCCAAAACTGGCAGGAGAAGCAGCTACTCCTGGGACTCCAAGACACCCCACAGCCTGCAGGCTCCCCTTTCATTCTCAACCCCCGGGGTTCTCCCCAGACCAGTCCTCTCCGCAGCAATAGAACAAGCCCAGCCCCCAGAAAGTCCTGGGCAAGCACCAAGACAGGGCACGGCGGCCCCTACACCCCAGGGCGGGGCCAAGGTCAGTTACCCGCTTGCTCCTCGGGGGCCTCTGTCAGGAAGGGAACAAGAAGGAGAGTTATTCCAGCGGGGCTGCCCTGCCTTAGTGTCCTTCTCGTCCCTCAGCCTCTGAACCCCCAGCCCTCCATGCTTCCTCACAGTGCCCCCGGGGGGGCTGAGAAGAGGCACAAGCAAAAGAGGGGTGTCTCAGAATGGCTGAGTCTGTGCTGGGCAAGAATAAACTGGGAGTGGGCAGGGCCCCTAAGAGATCTCCCAGGGGACAGGCCAGCCTACTGGGACCCACTGCAGGTTACCTTTGGTAGCTCCTGCAGCCCCCAGGTGGTAGATGGCAGCCAGAATGAGCCAGCAGGCCTTCTGTTCATCGGGGGAGATGCCCAGCACCTTCATGGCCGCCTGCAGCTTACTAAACTGCTGAGCTGCCTTCTGCTTTTCCTCAGGCTGTGGAGATAGATGACTTCAAAGGGCTGTTCCTCCCAGCACACCCCCACGAGAAGCTGGGCCCTCAAGACAAGGCTTGGGTAGAGCCAGCAGCTGGAGCTGGGCTCCCATTATTCCCACGGGACCCATGGAGGCTTTTCCTACCCTCCAAGGCCCAGGGCTGCCAACCCAGACCCACAAACCCCTCACCTTGGCCAGTGGCACAATCCCAAACACATTGTTCTCTGCCAAGTGGTTGAGGTGGAGCTCTGTCCTAGGGGTATAAATAAGGCGTCAGCACGGCGCTTGGTCCCCATGCCAAGGCCATTTCCCCCCAGGGTGGAGACAGACAGACTCAGCTTCCAGACTCCAAATTCTGTCTGCCCATCCTCCCATCATCCCCGACTGGCAGGCCAGCTGCCACTGCTTTCCTAACTGGCCTAGATGCCTGGTCAGGGCACCATTCTCCTGAGTACAGGCCACCAGACATGCTCTGGTAAGAGGATGCAGCCAGGCCCCCAGAAGGGAGCAGGGAACCTGACCGAAGGGTGAGTCCAGCCAAGGCAGAGACCATGCCCTCAGTTACAAGAAGGGCTAAAGAGGACAATGGCCTGGGGTTGCTGGCTCAGCCTCATCATTTATCTCTTTTCAGTGAACACACAGCAAGTCTGAAGGTCTAAAGGGAAGAGCGTGGCAGAGGCAGCCAACACGGGGCAGGAAGGACTAGTCTGGAGGCCACTGGAAGAGGCATGGGCTTTTGGCCCCAGTGTGGACTCAAATACCCCTACCAGTCATGCGATGGTAGGCAAGTCCCCAACCACCGGCACCTCAGTGAGCTTTGCTTTCCAGAACTGGCTTCATGGGTAATGGAGATCCTAGCTAGGCCCTGGAAACACTGAAGGGTTTTCTGTTCCCCTCCCACATAGCCAGGCCCCAGTACCCAGGACCAGGGAGTTCCTGATAGGCAGGGACTACATCTCATCCGTGTCACCGTCCCTGGGGCCTAGCTCAGAGCCTACCACATAGCAGACATGCAATGACCAAACAGTGCAGGACGTGATCAAGTGGCTTTAATCCTGGATGCAATCAAGGTCCAGGAGGCCAGTCAGCGGGCTGGAGCTCATAGCACCCTTGTGTACCCTCTGACCCATCTCACCTGAGGGTGCCATCCCCACAGGCCAGCAGGTAGTAGAAGATGTTGAATGTGGCCTCACTGGCTGGGCGCCGAGCCACACGAAGCTTCTCCAGAAGCATTGTCTGTGGCACAGCATGGAGGTGTGGGTAAGCAGGGTAGTGCCAGATCAAGTTTTTCCCACCCCACATCAGAAGGAATCAAACCCACGGTCCTCTAGGCCCTGGGGAACAAGCAGCTGCATTTTTTTTAAGATTTGAGATAGAGTCTCACTCTGTCACCCAGGCTGGAGCAAAGTGGAGTGATCTTGGCTCACTGCAACCTTCGGGGTTCAAGTGATTCTCCTGCCTTGGCCTCCTGAGTAGCTGGGATTACAGGCATGCACCACCACGCCCAACTGATTTTTGTATTTTTAGTAGAGATGGGGTTTCACCATGTTGGCCAGGCTGGTCTTGAACTCCTGACCTCAGGTGATCCACCCACCTCAGCCTCCCAAAGTGCTGGGATTACAGGCATGAGCCACTGCACCCAACCTGCATCTTGTTTTTTAATTCTTTTTTTTTTAAGATAGGGTCTCGCTCTGTTGCCCAGGCTGGAGTGCAGTGGCACAATCACAGCTTGCTGCAGCCTTAACCTCCCAGGCTCAAGTGACCCTCCCATTTCAGTCTCCCAAGTAGCTGGGACCACAGGCATGCACTACCACATCTGGCTCAATTAAGCAGCTGCATCTCATTCCCAAGGTGCTCAACCAGATACCAGATCCCTCTAGGATCAAACTGGGGACAGAAACCAGAATGAGGTGGAAGAAGACAGGCCCAGCTCCCAAAGGGGCCCTGCCACGCTGCCCAGCCCCCAGGTGCCTGCCTTCTGGAAATGGGAGCCTGTGATGAGGTATTTAGCATGGGAAAGAATCAGCCTTGGCTGGGCCTTACTTTACTGACAAGCCGGTCCTCTGCTAGGTGAAATCGGCCCGAGAGAAGCCCCAAGCATGAATCTCAGAAAATGGGTGTGAGGCTGAGGCCCAGCAGTAGAGTGAGGACAACCCCAGGGTTGGGAGAGTGAAGCGAACTGGGCAGAAAGCTGGACCAGGCCCCATCCAGGGCAGGAGGCCCTGAGGGCAGAAGGTGATGCCTCTGGGTAGCACAGGGCAAGCCTGCCTGTGCCTGGGTCAATTTTGTTGGGGTAGAATCCCAGGAAAATGAGGCACGGGAGACAGCCTAATTTCTAGGTCATGAAATCACGTGGCCCATCTCCTACTACCCCGAGTCCTGGGCAGCACTCTCACCTGAATGGAGGCTGAGGCCACCTGGCCAGCTTGGTCAAAGTCCAGGGAGAGGATCTGGGAGAAGCGGGTGGCATTGCCGTTCATGATGGTGGGGCTGTTCCCAAAGGCTTCCAGGAGGGTGTACAGAGCCTGCCACTTCTCCACTGCAGAATACAGGCCCAAGGGGACATCAGGAAAGCCAGGGGCAGCTCATCTCCCAGCTAGGAGCTCCAGAGGTATGAAGGCTTGGGGCCATTCACAGAACTGCCCATGGACAGAGGGGTTTCAGGGCGATGGAAAGGCCAGGGAGAAAAAGAGCTGGCACTTAAGAGGGTGCTCTCTCCTCACTCCCCTCCCCTCACCCCACTTTCAGTTTTCTCCGTTGTTCTTGCCTCACCAGAAAACACCTTGTTCCCGCTGATGCCCGCGATGGTGGCCAGGTACTGCACCAGATGCTGGCAGCTGGTGGTCTTGCCACTGCCACTACTACCCAGGAGGATGATCGACTGGTCCTGACGGCTCATCAGCATCGCCCTGTATGCGGTCTGGGCCACGGCATAGATGTGGGGTGCCATGTCCTCCCGCCGACACCCCTTGAACATGTGCATCACCTTGGGCAGGAGAGCAAGGGAGAGAAGGGGTTGGCTCTTAGCTGATCCCATTAAAACAGCCCTCACCACTAAGGTCCACATCTTTCTGGATTTTCCCTCCTGTAGTGCCCAGGGATTCCAAGGCCATGCATGGAAATGCAGAAGCTAAGTCCTGGACTCCACCAAAGGTTGTGGGGAGGTCCTGTCCCCCATCTCTTGAAATGACTCCTCTTCCCAAGGTCAACTGTGAGAGTGGATATGAGCCCAGTGGGATGCCACAGGGGAAGGGCAGAGAGCCAGGGCAGGGGGTGGGGCCAGGAGTCTGCAGGGTAGCCTTGAGGGTGCCGCACCTTCTCGGAGTACACAGCAGGGGCCCCACGGGGGCCAAGAACCAGCAGGCTGGGGCCAGCATACGTGTGCAGCAGGCTAGCGCCATAGCGCTGGCGCAAGGTGTGCAGGACACTGGACTCATTGAGGTACACCAGTGAGGCCAGATCCTCCAGACGGTCGCAGGAGGGAGCATTAGCCTGTGTGGGAGGATAGGTGGGTGGGCACTGGAGCAGCAGTGCCCATCTCTGCTGCCAGAGGATGGGCCTGCCCTGCCCAGAGCACTCCTGAGCCTCCTTCCCCAACCCAGCCCCCTGCCCACCTTCTCCACGTCATCCTCGTCCACATCCAGGATGGCCCCATCGTGGTCCAGCTTCACGCGCACCTTCCCCTCAGGCAAGCTGAGCTCCTCGGATTTGAGTTGACTGGCTGCAGGGGAGGGACAGACAGCTGGGATGGGCCAGGGAAGCCTCTGCTACTCCATGTGGGAACTTCTCGGTCCTGCCCTCCTCCCCACTGCATCACCAGCCTCTCGCTCACTGCTCAGCCCTCACCAGATGCAGAAGGCACATTTGCTGCCCAGCCCTGAGACCAGAGAGTCCTGACATGTGCCCCTGGACACTCCAAGACTCACCCAGTGAGAAGCCGTCCCTGTGGACCAGCCACACCTTCTCCGTCTCATTCCAGGCCTCCTCCGCTGCAATCTGCTCTTCTGTCTTCGCCTGTCAGCGAGAGGGAAGAATAAAAGGCCCTGCTATAGAAGACAGGGACAAGGACAGCAGGAGAGGGGAGACAAGTGAGAGCATAGGCTTCGAGACAAGCCACTGGGCAAGGAATGAGTTAGGTGACAGACACAGAACACAGGGACATCAGAGGTGTCCGGGAAAGAGGGTGGGGAAGCCAGGAGGCAGGGGTGGCTCTGAGGAGCCCTGAGGACAGGACACAAAGGCTAGGGACCATACCATCAGTGAGGGTCTGGCAAGACAGGGACACAGGGAGCTTGTGCCCAGGAGAGAGCAGGCCCCAGGAAAACAAATCACCAGGTTCTCCCTCAGCCACCCTCTACCCCTTCACCCTGCCAAGCCCGGGAGATCAGTGTCCTGAGTCCAAGGCCCTAGACCCTGGCCACAGCTACTAGGATCTTCCATGCCCAGCTTCTCCCTTCATCCAAATGATAGGGCCTCCTTTGCCAGGCTGGGAGAGGGCATGTCCTCAGATCTCAGTAGGGAGTTGCCCGGACTTCGCAGAACAGAAGGATAGGTGGGCTCGGAGCCCTGGCCTCAGCCCTGGCCCTCCCGTCCAGAGGTTGCTCTACCTGGGCCGGGGGACAGTACCCAGGTACACACACCAGCCTCCCTGCTCCTTCTTCATGCCACCATCAGCAAAGACCCCTGTCACACAGACCTAGTGGACATGCTAATGCCACACAAAGGCACGAGGCAGTGCGGCCAGAGATATGGGGGTAGGGGCAGCCCTGCTCTGTCAAACACAGGGAGAGGCTTACACATTATACAGATGGACACAGGAGTGGTATAAAGGGGCTGGGAGCCCCCAGTGGCCTCAGGAGGTCACCAACTCAGAAATAAGCATTCATAGGTACTGACAGGGTGTGGGCTGTCAAATCTGGCACCCTCTAAGAAGGACATTTGAACTGGGAAGAAACGGTGTCTGGGGGACCTGGGGAAACAGATGAAGGACCCAGGGCCCAACGGGCTCCTCTTGTGTGTGGGTGAAATGACAGCAAGGTCATCCTGTGCCCCAGGTGGGGGATGGGCACCCCAGTAGCATGGACCCACCCTCGGGTTAGCCCAGGCCCCTACACTCTCGGAGGGTCCCAGCTGTGAGGCACAATCAGCCTGAAACCCGAGGCCCAGGCGTGGACACAGCCTGGGTCCTGACCCCCTGAGTGAGAAATCAGGAAACGATAAGGAAACATAAGAAGTATGTTCTTTGTTACATTTCTTGGAGTTGAAAGAAAAGGAGATGTGTGCTCTCCTCCCAGGTTGGCTTCTGGCTTTAGCAGATCCCTCCACTGCTGGATGGCCCTTCCCCAGATTAGAATAGGAGGGCTGGGCTGCACCAGTGACTCCCAGATCTCTGGGTTTCACGGACCCATGAAATAACTCTTTGAATAGGAGGATCACCATGTGGCTGGCAACATTTTGGTGTGTTAAGTGAGGACATTAAAAAGGCTAGTTCTTTATATTTGAAGAACTATAACTTTATAAAAATCATTACAATGTTGTAATTTTTTTTTTTTTTCCAAATCACATAAGACAGGGGAGACCTTTGTGTTGAATAGGCACCAGGTATTTGGGGACTGATGAAGAAGGTGACATCATAGCCTGTAACTAACTCCTTTAAAGTGTATCTGAAAATGGGTTTCTCACATTGGCCAGGAGGTGGAGACAGAGAATGTCTCATGTTCAGGCATGGGCTGGGAAGAGGGCAGGGATTCCGCCTTTTCAGCTTTCTCTCTCCAGAGAGAGCAGAGTTGAAACACCTAGAACTCAACCAGATCCCCCTTGGGCTCCAGTGGCTGAGAACCACATGCCACATGGGCCTGACTTGAAGGGCGACACTCGGTCTAGATGCTCCCCAGGGGCCTGACACAGAGCTGCACCATCTCAAGCTCCTGGCACTACCTCCCGCTGGGGTCCTCCCAGACACAGGGTGGGAGCCTGAAGGAGAAAGAGGCCTTACACTCCAGCAGGAGGCCCGAGCACAGACGCCAGCCCAGGTGCAGGCCGGGGGCGCTGGGTGGTCACCGGAGGGAGCGGAGGGCTCCTGAGTGGGGGGAGAGCACCCTACCTGGCTGTGGGCACGAGAGGCGGCCTCAGAGTCCAGCTACCGACAGCAAGCAAAGGAGAGAGAGAGAAGAAGGGTGAAGACAAGCGGACCACTGGCGCGTCCCCTTTAGCAAGCACTCCTGAGTCAAGTGGGCCGGCACTCCCTGGTTGCCCAAGGCTCGGGGTGAAGGTGGGGGTTTGGTGCCAGGACCTGGCCTGAGCAGGTGAAGTGCACCCAGTCAAGGATAGGCCAGGAAGGTGAAGAGACACTAGTGACCATGAGGCCTCTCAGAGGACATGCTCCTCTAAGTCATTCCCAGTGGCCTGGGCAGGAGTCTGCCACTCTGCCTCTGGCCACAGTCTCTCCTGGGCTGACCATCCAGTCTGTTCTGAATCAGGCTCCCTCTTCTGTGTGTCTACCAGGCCAGGCCACCTCACCACACCCAAGGCCTGGGCCCCCTGCCAGCCTCCTGCCTTATCTCCAGAGCATTTCTCAGCCTAGCTCCCCTGTGGCCACCAGCACAGAGCTGTTCCTTGCCTTCTAACACAGCCCAAGGGTGCCACTCCCCAGGCCAAGGGCTGCGTTCAGAGCTGTCGCCCTGCACCTCTCATAGAACACAGCTCCCAGCAGCTTCCAATCTAGAATCTCTTCCTCAACCCCGACGCACCCTACAGCACTCCCACCTCTGCCAGCCAGGCACACCGACCCCATCTAGATCCAACCTGGGGACCACTTGACAGCTGCCCAAGAGCCAAGGTACCGTGGGCAAACCCTGTGGCCAGCCTTGACCTCTCTGGTTACTTAAAGCCCTGCAAAGCCTTTCTGGGGAGGAAGGCGAGTCAACCAGAACTTGGATGTTACCTGTTAGAAATGGGCAAGGAGTTAACAGGCCCCACCTGGGTCTGGAGAGCCAGGACACCAAAAATAGTGACAGCACTCTTCCTTACCACCTGCCAGGCCCTGCCACCAACACATGTCCTAGAGGTAGGACAATGTGGCCAGAGAAAGGGACTGGGCCCTGAGCGAGGAGGGGTGCCCTCCCACATGCACAGCGCTTTGGGCTCTCTGGAGGAACCACTCTCTCCAGAGCACTTCTCTCATTTCTTCGAGAGCCCGACATGAGGGCCCACAGGCTGCCACGGAGCCACCTTCATGGTCAGCGCGCCCACAGACACACACAGGGTCCTGCCGCCAGCCTCAGGAAGAGGGTGGCCAGGGACTGGGACCCATACACAAGAGGGGCATTACAGAAGCTGTGAAGATCCTCTCCAGCCGCTGGTGGGCCTCTTCCACGGGGGTCAGCTGGACCTTGGCAGCTCCTGCCTAAAGGTTAAACCACTATTAGTCCCAGCCCAGAAACGGCGAGGCCGCAGCATGCAGAGCTCCCAGCCCAGGAAGCCACTGGGACCCACCAGGGAAGGGGAGCAAGGTCAGGGAGCAAGCCCCGCGGCAATCTGAGTTTTTAAACTATCAGATTAGAAAAAAAGAACAGTTGCCTGGGAGTTCTGGGGTTATTTCTTACCACCTGCCTATCTTGAGCACCAAATGGCCCTATTATCCCACTTGCCCTCTGGACCCTGTCCCAGGCCCAGGTGACAGGTGGCTAAACTCCAGGTCAGGGCATGTCTCAGCTCTCAACTCCTCCCTTGTGAGAGGAGGAGGGACAGGGAATCCGAGGGGAGGGCAGCCGCCTGGGAACAGGACCATGACACTCCCCACCTGCTTACAGGCTCTCCGGAGTGACTGACAGTTCTGCCCATACCCTGCCCAAAACGCCCATGCCAGCTCCTCCCTGTGAGCAGGAACAGGCACTTCCCCGATTCACAGACTGGGCCAGGTGGGTGGGAAAAGCAGCGGCTGGCTTTTCTCTAAGTGCTGCAAAGCCCAGGAAGAACGGGGAGCAACAAGGCTCCTCAGGTCCCAGGAGTTAGCAGTCAGGGAGGGGCCTCAAGGCCTCTCAGGCTGTTCCCCCACACCCTCCAGACTCCTCTCCTTCCAGCCAGGAGGAGCCTGCAAGAGCACAGGGAAGTAGTGGCAAAACTTGATGCCCCTCCCCCACACCCTGGGAGGCCTCAGCAGGGTCCACAAAAGGGAAACTTGAAGAGAACTGTCCCCAACTCAGAGGCCAGCCAAGAAGGCAACACTTTCCAAGGGAAAGAGGCTGGACTGACCCTCCCTCCTGCTTCTCAGCCTCCTGCCCCCACCCAGAGAACACTTTCTGGGAAGACAGGATTGTCCTATACCCCAAGGGGCCCACTATACCCATCCGCCATCCAAGCTCAGGGCTCCTCGAGTCCTGCTGCCAGAGGGTCATGCTGGCCAGGCCTAAAGGAGGCAGTGACGGCAGTGAGCGCACCAATAACAACTGTTACTAGCACCACTATCAATGCTACCATTTATGGAGCACCCACCATGCCAGGGACCAGCTTGGAGCATTATCTGTATCATTTCTAATCTTCTGGTTACTTAAAACCCTTATTATCCCTTATTTGCAATTCCAAAATCCCAAAAGCCCCCCAAAGAAAACATTTTTCTTAACTATTTTGGCGGCAAAACCTGGCAGTTTATCCTCTGTGCCCCTGTAGTGTGAATATTCATAGATTTTGCTTGGGAAATATTAATGTTTGTTATGCGTTGTTGCTCATTACGCATCCTGTATGGCACTAAAATACAAAGATTACTAATTTCCAAAACACTTCCACACCCAGGGTATCAGAGAAGAAATTTTGGACCTGTATTAACCCCACTCAACAGGGGAAGTCTGAGATGGGACTTTGCTGAGGTCCCAGGGGATGAGTGGCTGGGAATGCAAGCCCAGACCCCAGACTTGAGAAAACATCTTTCCGCCCGGAACTATCTGCTGAGACTCTGATCCTCCGCTTTGGGTCTGGGGCCTCAAGCTGGCGCCGTGTAGCTGGGGACCAGGCCCTGACTCCCATGGCAAGGCCAGCAGCATGCTGGTTAGCAGTTTCCATCCCAGCCGCCGGGCCAGAGCCCAGGCAACTGCGGGGTCCGCATTGGGTTAGGGAAAGCCATGCAGCCCCTGCTGTCAGCACATGACCCTAGGCCCAGCCTCTCGGTCATGTGGGGTTCATTGAGGTGGCTTGGGGCAGCCGGCTGTGAGGGTGTCTGGCCCTTGAGCGAGGGTGGTGAGGGGCAGGAGTGGTTAGTGACACACTCTTGTACCTCCTGCTTCACACCAGGGACTGGTGACTTGGACTGCTGCTCTCCAGTGAGGTCTGACTTCAGGCCAGCGGAGCCTGGGGCCGCCAGCTCCTCCCGTGGGGCTGGGGAGCGCTGCTTCTTTGGGGTTTCAGGCTTGGCCGGGGATCCTGCTTTCTCTGGGGAGTCCACCCAGTCTGGGGAGCCTGGCTCCTGGCTGGAGGGCTTCTCCCCCTTCCCAGGAGACTGCTTGCCGCGGGCCTTGTGCTCCTTGCCCCTGCCCCGAGACATCAGGCTCCGCAGGCCCAGGGAGAGCTCATCCTTGGCCGCCTCCTTCTTCGCTTCAGGCTTAGGCAGAGCAGGGGGAGGTGGCGGAGGGGGTGGCGGCTTGGGACTAGAAGCTGCCTTTTCTCCCCTCTTGCTTCGAGTTGGGTGCTCAGGGGACTTGACTCCTCTGCCTGGGGGCTCCTTGGCATTTCCAAGCTCCTCGCTGGGCAGCACCTTACTCACCACCTTCCTCACTGCATTTGCCACCCGCTTCCGGGACAGGCCCTGGACCTCTTCGCTTGGGCCTTCTGCTGTGGCAGCTCCCAGGCCATTCATGGCGAGTGTGGGTGCAGGGCTCTTGGCTCTCTGGGAAGTCTCTGGGGGTATCGGGCTGGTGGGAGGCTGAGGACTCCTAGATGGGCCGCTGCCTTCCTTTGAGCTGCCCTCTAGCTATAGTCATACAAACACAGGTAGACGTTAGCATCACCCCCTGCAGCCCTGCCCATCCCATGCAGAGGGAGTTAGAAGGTGTGACCTCACACCCTGGAACAGATCTCCCATTCATCCAAAGCAACACATGGCTCCAAGAGGCTACCCCAAGAAGCCCACTTTCCATCTTCCAGATAGGACAATTGCAGCTAAGAGTCTGGCTTCTTTTCCACAAAGCACGATCAGGTACTGCTGTCACCTGCTGCCCATCCCCAGGCTCAGCATGGATCTGTGAGATGCCGGCACACAGTGCCCAGAGGCCTGTGAGGTGCTCTGGGGTTACTGGCTTTGTGTTAGGGCAGCAACCAAGTCCCAATCTAGGCGAGCCCACTGCCTCACAGCTCAGACGCAGCAGAGATGGAGCATGGAGAGGTTAAACAGCCAAGTACCACCTCCATTCCCACCACCAATCCCAGGCCTAACTCCAGGGCTTCCTGCCTTTGTGGTCCTTGGTCCTTCCATCACCTGTTTGCTGGGCAGTCAGACCAAAAGCCTGCCCATCCTGAAGGGAAAAATGATCAGGGAGCTCTTCCTGGCCCCAAGACATGCCAAGCCTCCTCCTCGCAGTATCCCTCGTCTGTGGCCACTGTCTGCCCTTCAACTATATTCTCAAGCGCTGCGGAGCCCAGCATGGGCCCAGGAAGCTTCCACTTTAGCCTGCTTTCTGCAGTCTCTTTGCAGTTTTCCTCCTGCAAACCTTTCAAGGGTTTGGAGACCCCCTAGCTCCCAGAGTGTGTGTATAGCCCACAAAGGGTTAAGCACTCAAGCAGCCTCAGCTCCATTCTGCCCTGGAGTGGACTGGTACACTCTAGCTGGTGTGCCCACCCTTCCCCCACACACTGGTGCTGTCTGGGTCCCAAGGGACTGCCACTGGAAGGCCAGGCTGGCTAACAGCAGGACAGTTTCCCATAAAGCCAGCCCCATTGCCTGGGGGGAGTAAGGGCAACTGGGGGTCTCCTTGTTGGACAGGCAGAGCTCTGTCACCAGCTGAGCTGTGCTTGAGTCCTTGCTGCCCAAAACAGTGATCTTGGTTCTAGAACACATATGGGCACTGGGCTCTGTGAAGGCCCACCTGCCCATGCTTGCTTGGATGCAGGAAGATGCTCATAGTAGGCACACCTGGGAGCTGCTGCCTCTGGATGCCACAAGGAGAAGTTGCTCCACCTTTTGCGCAGAGCTGAGCCAAGGGCCTTAATCTAGGCCCTGGTTACAGGTTGGCTCTGCTGAAGGGATAGAGAGAGTAAGGGCTTGAAGGTGCCTCTTCCTCAACCTCTTAGGCCAAGAGTGATCAATGGCATGCCAGGGCACTGCAGAGTTGGCCAGTGGCCCTAGCCACTGGATCCTACACTCCTCCCCTCCCTCTTCTGGCTTTTCTCCCATCCGCCTTCCATCATTAAGATGATGACGATGGGCCAGGTGTGCTGGCTCACGCCTGTAATCCTAGCACTTTTGGAGGCCAAGGCAGGGAGATTGCTTGAGCTCAGGAGTTCAACACCAGCCTGGGCAACATGGTGAAACTGTTTCTACAAAAAATACAAAAATTATCCAGGCTTGATGGTGTGTGCCTATAGTCCCAGCTACACTACTCAGGAGGCTGAGGTGGGAGGATAGCTTGAGCCTGGGAGGCAGAGGTTGCAGTGAGCTGAGATGGCACCACTGCATTCCAGCCTGGGTGACAGAGTAAGACCCTGTCTCAAAAAAAAAAAAAAAAAAAGAAAATGATGAGAATGATGATGACAATGATGATGATAGTAATTGGTAAGACTTACACAGTACTTACTATGGGCCATGGCACTCTTCCAAGCACTTTACATGTAGTTTTTGCAAAAAAAAATAAATAAATTCTGGGCAACTCTGAGGCCTCTCCCTCACACACGCACATCCCTTTCAAATCACAGTCTGGCTTTCCAGGATTGTTTGCAGATCAGGTGGAAGCCACAGTGCCTGGCTAATCAAATTGACCAAGGAAGTACGGGGAGCCAGGACAGGCACCATCTGGGGTAATGAAGTAAGGATCTGTGTTGTGATCCAGCTCTGCCCCAGAGCCCTGGGCACTCCTGCCCCCTGTGCCACCAGCTGCCCTCTCCTAACTACACATCTCTGGACTTGGCTATTCAGAAACCGATTCTCCTCTCTTGCCTTAGGAGAGTCCAGGTTTATTCAGGGTCTCTATCCCAATGTACTGGGGCTGGAGGCAGTGGGTAGCTAGAGCCTGCCTCCAGGTCACCTGCACCAAGCAGCTGACAGGGTCTTGGAAGAGACAGCAGCGACTGCAGTGAAGTCCCTCTGCGCCCTTGCCTTGTGCCACCCAGAGCAGGCTGAAGAATCCCAACAGCTGAGCTCTCATTTGACGCTCCCTAACCTAAGTGTTTGCCCACCCAAGCCTCTCCAGGCCCAAAGGGTTCAGGACACCAGAAGCAAAGGGAGGCAACTTAAGGGGATTAGGGAGGAGGTTAGGGGAGGTCCCCAAAGCACCCTGGCTATCTCCTTCACACACCCGAGGCTGGCATCACACACACCATACTTTCTTCCCCTTTACTAGAGTTCTCTCCAGCTGAGCCACACAGGAAGGGGCCCCCTGCAATCTCCACCTACTCCATGGAGCTGTCTCACAGGCTAGTCCAGGGCTAGTGGGTGCAGGGGCAAACACACGCGTGCACACACACACGCACACACGCACGCACACGCACGCATGCACGTCTCAGAGAACTCAGGGATACACTTACAGCCCCTTCCTCCTTGCCAGGAGAGCCAGGCTTTGGCAGAGTTTTGTCCTCCTCTTTAACCTGAGGGAGCAGATGAAGAAGTCACTGGCAGGTCAAGGCTGGGAGACCCAGCACTAAAAGCACAGGGAGAGAACATTCAAGGGGCCTCCCTCTCCCTGAGAGGTGGAGCTCCTGAATCTTTAGGAATACCAGGGCTAGGGGACCTGGGCAAGAGTTATCCTATCCTAGAATCAGGACTATTCAGTGATGACTTCAAGAATGAAGAGTCTGTGGGGGCAAAAGCCAAGTACCCTTGCCCTCAGCGACCAGCCACTTTGCCCACTTCGGGGGCTAAAGAGGTCCACCCACAGCACCATCGTGGTTTTGGTTACGTGGCAGACAGGAAGATCCAGCTAATGTAACTCATCCAAACTACAAGAGTCATCCCCAGCTCAGGCAAGAAGTGGTTTGAACAAAAAGCCCCTGATCTAGTGAGAGAGGAGGTAAAAGTAACCCAGTGTGGGTACCTGTGGGCCAGCAGCTTTTAGAGTAGAGTGAAGGTTGGCCCCTATCGGGCTGGCTCTGACTTGCTTCTTGATCCTGCACAATTCCCCAAGCTCAGCTGAGCTCTTGCTGGAGGCAGGGAGTTGGGCAGAGGCAGAGATTCAGGAGGCCAGATATTTTCTTAACCTCAGACTCACAAAACTGCCAACCATGCAGCCAAGGGAGGGAACCCTGAAGCTAGGGGCGGGGTATGGAGGAAGGAAAGATGCCTAAGCTCTGGACACTGTGGCCAGGGGTTTGTGCTGGAGCCCAGGAGCTGGCTGGCCTGAGTCAGAGGGGAGGAGTGGAGTCGTGGAAACAGCAGATACCATCACACATCTGGAAAAGGGGCAGATGATGCGGAAGCTCTGAAGGTTCTTTCAGTTCAGAAACTGGCTCACAACAGACCCAGGCCTCAAGTTTAAAAGAGCCTTCTCCTTTCCCCTCACCCGTATCTCTCCCTCCAAAAGCTCAGGCAGTCCTAGTAGATTTAATTTCTCCTCTTTCCTGAGTCACCTAGGACTATAGGAAAAAGACGGGCCTGTTACCAACCCTACCTCCTCCTCAGCATGCCTCTCCTTCCCAGCACAATGTGGGTAGGAGCATGGCAAGAAGTCCTTGATTCCTAAGGGAAAAAATCCTTAGAAACATCCAGAATCATTTACATGATCCACTTGGGGGGACTCTCCAATTTTAACCAGGGTCTATGGCTAATTTTGAGCTCAAATTAGCAGTGCCAGAGGCACTGGCTGGCGTGATAGCCGCTGCAGTTTTAAAGCTGCATCTTGTCCACAGAGCTATCTGCAACAGGCTCAAGCTTCATAGTTAGCTCACAATGCCAAGGATGGGGGAAAATGACAAATATTCACCTGAGTGGAGCCTACTTCTTTAAGAAATGGAATCGGAGCAGAGAAAGGGAAGGCAGGGAATGGGGGACAGAGTGAGGAAGAGTGGCAGGGCCTAGGTCTGTGCCTGCTGCCCCCCACCAAGCCATCACTCTCCCCCTTGCTGCCCCAGGGATCACACCATGCAGTAGTTCCGGGGCACACAGGTTAGTGGGAGGACAAGTGTTTGCAAATCACACAGATACATTCATTACTGCATGCAGTGCTGTTAACTTGGGTTCTGGGGTGGCCCAGATTCCAAGTCCACTCTGTGTTCTTCACCAGCTCCAAATCTGTCCTCCCTCCAGTGGCTCAAATTTGGGACCCCAAATGTCTGGCCCAAGGTGTGGCATTGGGGAAAACACTGGGTGCCCCCCAAGTGTCTGAAACACTGGGCCCAGCTCTGAGCTCAGCTCTGGATTTAGCATCAGGCTGACTCACTGCTCCCTCCCCCACCAGAAGGGCTCTGGCTGTTGTAGGTCACTGCCCAGCTGGGGACTATGCACACACATAAAGGCACACACACAGGCAGTCCCAAGTCTGCGGCCTGAATCACCCTCTGGACCCAGGTGGCCAACTGGCCTGACTCCTCACCCTCAGCCCCTTGTCCTCCTACCCACTGCAGTCCCCAGGCTCAGGGAGACCCAGTTCCAGTGGTCCCTCCACAGCAGCCCACGTTCCAGGGGTGAGTCAAGGCAGCAGGATGGTGGGAAGGGTGTGGAGGGGATAATCCAGCGGGACACCAGCAGGACAAAGGGCAGCTCACCTTACCAGAGATGGGGCTTAGGGGAGGAGCATGACTCAGCACAGGAGCCCATCCAGCCAGAATAGGGAGTTCACCAGCCCCTCCCCGTCATTCTCCCTGCCACCCCCAATTATACACACGTGCCCCAGTCCATCTCTAGCTTCCAAAGCTCCCTCTCCCACAAGCCAGTCTCCTGCCTGCAGACACAACATGCTAAGCACACAGGAAAAACATAAAGATTTTAAAATCTAACTTTCCTTTTGCTCCCAGAAGGCGAACCTTGATGAAAAGGCCATGACGCTGAAGGTAACCTGTACCCTGAGCCAGAGAAGAAATTGGGGGCAGGGTCTCGCGGTGTCTCAGAGTCTTCCTAAAAGCCAGAACCTGCCAGGACAAACGCTGTGGGCAACAAGGGGAAAGGAGGAATGGAGTGGAGGAGGAAGGATTACAAAACTCAAAAGGGCATTGGAGTAAGGAATAAAATATTAAAGGAAAATGAAGGAAAGTAGGCACAGAACATAGCACTCCCTACCCTTGGAAGCTGTGTGCTTTGTTTTTATTTTTATTTTTTTATTTTTTGAGACGCAGTCTCACTCTGTAGCCCAGGCTGAAGTGCGATGGTGCCATCTCGGCTCACTGCAGCCTCTGCCTCCCGGGTTCAAGCGATTCTCCTGCCTCAGCCTCCCCGGCAGCTGAGATTACAGGCATGCACCACCATGCCCAGCTAATTTTTGTATTTTTAGTAGAGATGGGGGTTCACCATGCTGGCCAGACTAGTCTCAAACTCTTGACCTCGGGTGATCAGCCCGCCTCGGCGTCCTGAAGTGCTGGGATCTATACAGGCGTGAGCGCTGCGCCTGGCCAGAAGCTGTGTGCTTTGAATAAGCCACTTTGCCTCTCTGGGCCTCTCTGTAGAATTAGGGGCTAGTCTAGAAAATGGCTCAAAGCCTCTCCATGTCTGGCACCTTAGGAGTCTATGTGGGGAGAGGCACTCAAATTCTATTTATTTATTTATTGAGACAAAATTTCGCTCTTGTTGCCCAGGCGGGAGTATAATGACACGATCTCGGCTCACTGCAACCTCCGCCTCCCGGACTCAAGCGATTCTCCGGCCCCAGCCTCCCGAGTAGCTGGGATTACAGGTACCCACTACCACACCTGGCTAATTTCTGTATTTTCAGTAGAGACAGGGTTTCTCCATGTTGGTCAGGCTGGTCTTGAACTCCCGACCTCAGATGATCCACCCACCTCAGCCTCCCAAAGTGCTGGGATTACAGGTATGAGCCACCACACCCAGCTGGCACTCAAACCCTTAATACAGTAAACCAAAGTTGTGGGCCTGTGACCTAGGAGAGGAATTGAGGAAGCTGCCTCAGGACTCCAGCAACTTTGCCTTCCAGCTGTAACACGCATTACCTGGGGCAAGAGGCCTGGAGAACTGCAAAACTGTCCATCTATGGATTAGAAACCCGAGCTGGGCCTCTTGAAAAATCAAGTCAGAATCTGCCTCAGTCCAGGCACAGGCTTCATCCAAAGAATCAGTGCAATTCAGTGGAGTTTAAGAACTGGTTCTTTTTTTTTTTTAAATTGAGACAGAGTCTCATTCTATCACCCAGGCTGCAGTACAGTGGCGCAATCTCGCCTCACTGCAACCTCTGCCTCCTGGGTTCACGCCATTCTCCTGCCTCAGCCTCCCGAGTAGCTGGGACTACAGGTGCCCACCACCACGCCTGGATAATTTTTTGTATTTTTTTAGTGGGGACAGGGTTTCACCGTGTGAGCCAGGATGGTCTCGATCTCCTGACCTCGTGATCCGCCCACCTCGGCCTCCCAAAGTGCTGGGATTACAGAAGTGAGCCACTGCGCCCGGCCAAGAACTGGTTCATTCTTAAAACCGCTTATCATAAATGAATAGTTAAAAATTAGGAAATGTCTTGTTTTCAATTAATTATTTTTATTTTGCTTTATTGACTTCTGTTTCATTATTCAGTTAATGTGCTAAAGACTTTAAGTTTGTCTGTTGCTGTAATTTTAACTCATTTGATCTTTGGTCTCTTGTTCAAGTTTTTCTACTTGTTCATACAGGTCCCATCTGGCCTAGGCTATAAGGACACCGGGCCATTTCCACCCAGGCCTGTTCCTCTGCATCAGCTGTTCCTATGAGCATCACTCTGAACACAGATGTGGGGCTCTCCCCAGAGGAAATTCTGTGGCTTTTATGCAGAATTGCCTAGACAGTTTTCCTGTCTTCCTTATCACTGAATTTGTTTAGGATCAAGAGCAAGTTATCCTGGAACTGGATTATTTATAACCCGAAGGATAAATGCTTGAGGGGGTGGAAACCCCACTGTCCATGATGTGCTTGTTTCTCAATGCATGCCCATATCAAAACATCTCATGGGCCGGGCACGGTGGCTCACGCCTGTAATCCCAACACTTTGGGAGGCTGAGGTGGGTGGACTGCTTGAGCTCAGGAGTTTGAGACCAGCCTGGGCAACACGGTGAAACCTTGTCTCTACCAAAAACACAAAAAATTAACTGGGCATGGTGGTGCGTGCCTGTGGTCCCAGCTACTGGGGAGGCTGAGGTGGGAGGATCTCAGAGGGAGGCAGAGGTTGCAGTGAGCAGAGATTGTAATACTGCATGCTCCAGCCTGGGTGACAGAGTGAGACACCATCTCAAAACAAAAAAAGAAAAAAGAAAAAAATATATATATATATATAAAATGTATCCCGTAAGTATATAAACCTATCATGTACCCACAAAAATAAAAAATAAAAAAAAGATCAAGTTACTCTTATCCAAGACAGAACGGGTAAGGAACTCAGGCCCCAAAGATGGTGGCAGCATCTGAGTTGGGAACAAATGGCTCCCCGGAGCAAGGGTATTTAGATCTAAGGCCTCTCTTCCTTGACTTGTTCTCTCTCTAGAGATTTCAGCCATTTCTAGCAACATTACTGAATATGGAGCACCTACAATGAGATGGGCCCTATACAAGGTAGGTATTTAACATTTATTTTCTAATGTAAATCTTACAACAATCTGAGGACTGGTGATATGGGAATTATTATTATTCCAATTTTGTCGATGAGGGAAAAGATCCAGAAAGAGATTAAGTCACGAAGTTAGTTAAGTGGGGGAACCCAGACTTGAACCCACATTGGTCTGCCTCCAAAGCCTGTGCTGCTTCCTTAGTGCCCACATTTTCTGGTATGTTAGACAGGTGTCAGCCTTGGTAGCCAAATCTGGTTGATAAACTTCATCAGCGTGGAGATTCAGAAGATCCGGTCACGCCAAAGCATGGATTGATAGTGTGTTTTACTAGTGTGCAACTTTCCAAATCGAGTTTTTGGACTTGCAAAAAGGGAGACCCCACCATGATTCTGCCACTCTGCAGCTCACCCACCTCCTCCCTCTGTGGTACTTTTGAGGGACAGCAAGAGAAACCCACACTCACTGAACACTTACTATGAGCCAGGCACAGGGGAAGGCACTTCATACAGGTCTCCTCATTGAATCCTCACAACAACCCACTTTCTAGGTAAGGAAATAAAGAAGGTGAGTTGCCGAGAGCCCTGCAACTATTAAGTGGCAGAGCTGGGAGCCACAACCAGCGTGGATCTTGGGGAGCTGTTGGTGTGTCTTTGTCATCCCTGGACTGTGATTCACCCCTGAGCAGAACTTACCCATCTTACTCATCATATTGTAGGTGCCTAAGAAATGTTAGCTGCACGAGAGTGCTGGGACAGGGGTTCTTTGCACAAACCTCTTATTCCCATCTAATCTCTTCCCCAGATGTAATCTATGGAGAACAACACTTGCCTATTCTGATTCCCAGGGACATGGTACAAACAAGGGAGGTATAATCTCTAAACCTGCTCACACTGAATACATAGTCAACTCAGTGCCTGGGTTTGTGGGGAGGGTGAGGACGCTGAAATCGCTTAGTAGCTCTTTGTGGAACAACAGCCACAAAATGCATCATCCTCTGGCCTAGTCATTCCATCTTCAGGAATGTACGTCCAATGAGCAGACTTAAAGAAATAAAGAGAAAGAAAAAAATGCAAAGATTTTTATAGATGCACTCTACATAACAGCTCCAAATTGGAAAGTGCCCAAATGCCTAGAATTAGGAAATGGTTAGGTACAACCCGTTGTTATATTGCCATTTAAACTGACAAATGTGTGGACAACGTAACCATATGGAAAGCTCCATATAAAATAACACCAATCAAAAAAACTGGAACTCAAATAGTATACAAAGAGTGATCATAATAATCTTATAAACTGTGTGAATTAGACACAATAGGAACACTTGGTATTTATTTTGTTATGTATTTGTTACTTACTCCTTATTTTTATTGTGAAGATGGCTAAATAGTCAATAAAAAAGAAAAAGGAAAACAGATAATAGCTAGAAGCATTTGTTCTCAAAGAGGAGAGATCCAAGAAATGTGCTGAGGGACTGTCAAGCCTCAGCCCCAGCAGGCTTCTGACGCTCTGGGAGCAGCTGGGGTTTACCCTCCATCGTGCCAGCAGAGCCCACTCGCCCTTAACATGCACTTTCTGGGCCCCTCACAGGAGGGAATGGGGGCACAAATGCTTCTAGGAGAATAATGCCATGCCTCAGGCAGTCCCTCAGGCCTGGAATGCCTGGCCTGGACAAATGCTTTGAGGCCCAAGCATCCATGCCAGACATCTGCACACTGCAAGCCCCTGAGAGCAGCAGGTAACCCTCAAGAGAGTGCCCAGAGGAAGCCGAGACGTGGCCGAGGTCACTTCCCCACCTCGCCGCTTCTGCCAGCACTCACACACCCAAGGTTTCTCCTTCTGAGGACCAAAAGGCAGGGCATTCTCCTCTCCTCCCTCTTTCCCATTCGGAGGCACAGAGGGCAGCTCCCAGGAGACTTCTTCCTCCCAGTCCCAACCTAGCACCAACTTATCTAGGGATTGGGGGCGACGGGGGGTGGGAGGAACAAAGGAGAAGGGAAGAAATACTAGCATAATAGTAAAAAACGGTTAATCGTTATTGAGCATTTGGTATGTGTCAGGCACTGTGCTGAATTCTTCACATGAATCATCTCATTTGATCCTCACAACATCCCTCTGAAATAGATACTAGTGTGACTGTGTGATTGCTACTTTACAAATGAGCCAAAGGAGGCTCAGAAGGTCAGGTGACTCGCCCAAAGCCTCACAGCAGCAAGTGGCAGATCTGGGATTCACACTCAGGTCTCCTGCGAGAGACCTCCACTGCTCACTTTAAGGGATGGAGGCACGCCCTACCCTCCATCTCCCCTGGCTCACCTGCACTGTTGTCCTTCTATATCAGCTGCCAGAACAGCAGCTTGGGAGGAAAGCAGGGATTCCCAATGATGACCCGCCCCTCCACCCACCGACCTGAATATGCTTTACATGGAACTGCTTGAGAGGAAGGGAAGCTCTCTAGGGAATGAACTGAAGGCCATGCTACCAGACAGAGGAGGAGGGGGAGACGAGCTTGGCAGGGACAACCTGGCCCTTGCAGTGCAGCCTCCAGCCAGAGCCCTCCCCAGCCCCAGGGCGGAACAGAAAGCAGGCGGGCACCCGCCTCACTGCAGGCCAGCCCAGAGGAAGCAGGTGCACTAGAATGGCTTCCTGCTGCAACTGCAGTTGCAGAAGGGTCTTGGTTTCCTCCTCCAACAACTGGACCTGCTGGAGGCCTCCCTTCCCTGGGGATGCTCACTGCCCCTCTGCAGGGCACTTTGCTGTCTGCTTGGATATCACTGTGCATGGCCCTGAATCTGTGACCTGGTGCTAGTGGCCCGGGGGTGGCTGGGGGGAGAGTAACATAGACCAGGAAGCACCCATCTCTCAGGGTGAGGAGGTCTCTCTGACCTCTCCCCCACCCCCAGGCATACTGCCCACACAACTCAGCCCTGGTGCCAGTTTGGGGGCTGAGGCAGGGCAGTCCTGAGCAGAAAGAGATACAAGTGCTCACGGGCACATCTTAGGCTCCTGATGTACCTCCGCACCAGGCCAGCCCACATACTCTGCCAACTGCTGACACGACTGAAAACCTTACCCTTGGTGGCTGGGAGGGGTAGAGTGAGAGGAACGGAAAGGACTGGGAGCAACTATGCCTCTCCTCACTTTCTTTTTTAAGGAACTTACTTATCTGGAGTAATCTCTACTAAAAAAGAGACTTAGGGCCAGTCAGAGCATCCCCGACACACCATCTGTGCCCCTTGCAAGTGTCCTATGCACAGAAATGGAGGTGGCCATGCTAAGACTACTTTTGGGGACATTGAGAACGGGTGCTCCTTGACAACTCCAAGGACCATCCCCTCTCAAGGAGGAAGAGAGGAGAGGGCTATACCACCAACAATGCAGAGACAAGACTACCGAAGACCTTGGGTGCTGCGGAGGCTGGGGCTTTGGAAGAAAATAGCATTCTAAGGAAGGAAGGCCAAAAAAGCACTAATGGTTGGTGGGGAAGGCATGTCACAGCCTTGGGGGTGGATGCGACCTCAGGAAACTGAGATTCAGAAGACAGTGCCCCTCCAAAACTCCTGAAGTCATGAGTCAGGCCCAGGATGCCCTGCTCCTAGCCACGGAGGGGTTTTTGAGGCTTCCGGGGCTGGGTAACTCCCTTCTTACCAAGAAGCTCCGAGAGGAGCCCCAAGGCGGCCCCACCCCTCTCCCCACCTACTTCAGCCACATTTGGGGAAATCACAAAAAGGTCCCTCCTTTCCTAAATGAGGAAACAGCATGAGGAGCCTGGGACATTTCCAGGGTAGGGGGTCAGAGGGACACTCACCCGCATGGCCTGGCCCGGAGCAGCCCAGAGCAAGGAGACTCCGCTCTGATGCTGCTCTGGCTCTGTTAGCTGCTCAAAATAGCACAGGCTCTGGCCCCGCCCAGTTCCCGCCCTCTCCCCAGCCCCTCCCGTCCAGAGCTGCCCAGCCCCGGTTGGAGCCAGTAGCCCGGAGGACTGCGGGTATCAGGTATGCCAGGAGGGAGACGGTGATACAGCAGTGTGTGTGGAAGGGAAGGAGAAGGCTCTTAGGGTAAAGCCATTGGGGTGGGCGGCAGGCAGTGTTGGGGGGTTAGGGCAAGGACAGGGAGGGTGAGACTTGTCTATGGACACACACCCCAGCTCCGGGACAGCTGGGCTGATATGGCTCCTAAAAATAGCAGAGGAATTTGAGACCTGCAGCCCCCGGCCCCACAGGCCAAACTTGAGACAAGCACATGCGCACTCACATACATGTACACGTATACACACACACATAGACACACACCAGCATGCACAAACATTCAATCAACCCAGTGTTCTTGAGAACACCCAAATCATAGGCCTACCCTAGCCATCTAATTACTGCGGCAGAGGCCAAGACAGCCACTAACGTCACATCCAAGACAACACATGGGGCCCACTGCACACTGTGCCCAAACAGCAGCCGCACACAGTCCTGTAAGGTCTGGCAGGAGCAGAGACCCACACGGGCAGGCCCACTTACTGCCCCACTGCCGTCAGTACACAGGGGACATGCAGAGAATCGATAGTACTCTCTATGTTTACATCCCTCTCCCCTCCACACATGCCAGGGACTGCACAGGCAGAGAGGAGGGTGGGGTGGGCCTCAGCCCCGCAGACAGAGGAAGTCATGGGTGTCTGGCCAATGAGCAACGGCTGCCTGTGAAAAGCCAGTGTTTCTTGTGAAGAGAAATCCTGGCCTGGTTCTCCAGTTAGCACCATGGGATGCTTAGACCAGGACTAGGGACCCGCTGAGAGGCTGAAATGGGAGCTGGAGAACAGAATGGGAAGGGGCCAAAAGACAGGGAGTGCAAGTCTCAGAAGCTGTCAGCTCTGCAGAAAAAAGGAAACAGTCATTGCTTCCCTCTTCCTCTTCAGGGAAAAAAAAAAAAAGGTGGGGGTGGTGCTAGGAAGCCCTGGTACAGAATCACCTCCTAACCAGTCTGGCATACACCCCATGATTCTTGCCCCTGGCCAGCTCTAAGGGCCATTGGTTCTATAAATTGTCTGACTTTCTCCATGAAAAGATTGGTAAGCACTGCCAGAGAGGACGAAAACCCAGTTCTGCCTCCTACCTGCCATGCACTGTCCAAGTCTCACTGTCATATAGTCACATATACAGACTCTTAGGACATGGTGCTGTGCTTGTGTCCTGCTCTCTAGAGAATGGGATGTCTCCCCAGGGGAAGCATCTGGCCCTTCTGAAGCACATGCAGTGTCGCAGGTCTTCCCATCTCCAGTGGCTACTTAGAACAATGGTGCCAGCCTCAGCTGCTCACTGAAATCCACTGGGGAACTTGAAAAAAATACCGATGCCTGGAGCCCACCCTTTCCCTCTCAGTTTCTGACATAATTGGTCTGGGAGGGGGAGCCTGGGCATTGGGATTTTTTTTTTTTTTTGAGACTGAGTCTTGCTCTGTCGCCCAGGCTGGAGTGCAGTGGCGCGATCTCGGCTCACCACAAGCTCCGCCTCCCGGATTCACGCCATTCTCCTGCCTCAGCCTCCTGAGTAGCTGGGACCACAGGCGCCCACCACCATGCCCGGCTAATTTTTTGTATTTTTAGTAGAGACGAGGTTTCACCGTGTTAGCCAGGATGGTCTCAATCTCCTGACCTCGTGATCCTCCTGCCTCAGCCTCCCAAAGTGCTGGGATTACAGGCGTGAACCATTGCGCCCGGCCGGGCAGTGGGATTTTTTATGGATAAAAGCTCCCCAGGTGATTCTTACATGCAGCCAAGGCTGAGAACTGCACGACTCTAAGGCCAGCATAAGGCCTAGCACAGAAATGTCCATTTGTTAAATGAATGAGTGAATGAATGAATGACTTAGCTGCGTGAACACAGACAGGTGACTTAAATTTCCCTTATCTGTAAAATGAGGATTACACCTGTACTGACTCTTACCCAACCAGTCTGAGACTGGTACATAATGTATGCGAAAGGGCTTTGGTTCTCCAAGTTCTCAGGCCAGCAGTGTGGGCATCCCCTGGGGACTTGTTGGAAATGCAAATTCCAGGAACCTGACCCAGACCTGCTGAACCAAGAACTCTGGATATGGGGTGCAGCATCTGTGTTTTAACTAGGCTTCCAGGTGATGCTGAGGCACATTAAAGTCTGAGAGGCACGGCTTGAAAGGAATGATTCACAGCATACCATGGTTAGGAGTGTGACCTCCAGGGCCACATGGCCCGGTTTAATCTTGGCTCTTCCACGTAGTAAACTACACAACTTGACCTCTCTGTGTTTCAACTTCTTTTCATTTGTATTTTATTTTTTGAAATAGAGTCTCACTCACTCTGTCGGCTGGAGCACAGTGGCTCCATCTGGCTTACTGCAACCTCTGCCTCCCAGGTTCAAGCGATTCTTGTGCCTCAGGCTCCTGTGTAGCTGGGATTACAGGCATGCGCCACCGCACCCAGCTAATTTTTGTATTTTTAGTGGAGACGGGGTTTCACCATTTTGGCCAGGCTGACCTTGAACTCCTGACAGCAAGTGATCCGCTAGCCTTGGCCTCCCAAAGTGCTGGGATTACAGGTGTGAGTCACCATGCCCAGCCTCTGTGCTTCTATTTCTTTATTTATAAAATGGGAAAATAACAGCACCTACCATGAGGGGTTAATACATGGGTTAAAAGAATTAGTACATACATAGCTCTGAGAACAGCGCCCAGCACATTCATTTTCAATACTTAAAACAAAACAAAACAAAATAAAAAAACAGGGTCTTGCTCTTTTGCCCAGGCTGGAGTGCAGCAGCACTATCTTGGCTCCCTGAAATCTCCATCTCCTGGGCTCAGCCCATCCTCCCACCTCAGCCTTCCTAGTAGCTGGGATCACAGGCATGGACCACCATGTAAGTTTTACATATTTTTTTTTTTGTACAGATGGGGCCTCCCTATGTTGCCCAGGCTGGTCTCAGACTCCTGTGCTCAAGCAATCAACCTGCCTCGGCCTCCCAAAGTGCTGGGATTATAGGCGTGAGACACCATATTTGGCCTTAATACATTTTAACTATTATTATCTACCTATGGTCATAAGCGGGGGAAAAAATGAGGCATTGTAAGCAAAATTTCCAGGTAACTGGAGCCTACCCTTTTTAAGGGATAAAAGATTTAAGTCATTTTGTAAGTTCTATACTATTTATAATCCTAAAAATAACCAACATATATACCCTGTTTCCTTAAGTACAACACCTCTAATTCATCTCAAAGATCTCAAACTCTGAGCTTTCCTTCTTGAACCCAATCCATTTCTGCTCCATCCTGTACTGAAGGGCACGCCATCTCCACCATGATGACTCCTGACTTCCTGGCCTGGCTATAGAAGCCTGGCTTCTGCCCCACCAATGCCCCAGCCTCTCTCCAAGGGCACCAGCCCCTCTAAGGCACCACCATGCTGAAGCCTTGCATATGCCTATATTAGGAAGGCCAGGCGCCCTTTGTGGCCATATGTCTGCTTTTTAATTCTTTTGTCCCCGACCTCATTAGGCCATCAGCTGTCACTCGCCTGTCAGTGTGCCTGTCTCCACTCCTCCACTCAGCTTCACATGCAACCACAGCTAGTCCTTCTGCTGCCCAAAGCATGGTGCAATCTCAGGGCACGGTCTGTTTCTTCGAGGAGTCTAACTGATGGCTCCAGAGGTCATGTGGGCACTCCCATAGCCAGCCAGGCCACCCCAACCCCCTCAGCTTGCCTCCAAGGACAGTCAGAAGCTATAATCTGGCCCCTCCTCAGACTTTACTTTTACTTTTCTAGTCTCTTCTCCCTCTTCCCAGCCAGCCTGGCTCTCCCTCATTTGCCTGCCCTTGTCACCACCAGAGCCATTCCTTATGAATGTGACTCTACCTTGGCTGACCCTCTGCATCTCTCCAGGCCCATCTCAACTCCCACCTTCTTTATGAAGCCTTCCCTGAAACCCAAGACCCACCTGGCAATGCAAAGAACGTGGACTCGGCAGCCAGACACACCTGGGTCTGAATCCCAGCCTCTTTCTTGCTGCCTGACCTAAGGGAAAGTTACTTGACTTCTTAGAGTTTCTACTTTTTTGGCCTTAAAATAGTATGATATCCACCTTATGAGGCTGTTGTAAGAACAGAACAGGCAGTACATGTAAAGCAACTGACATGAGGCCTGGCAAATTATACTTATTAAATTATTAATATCATTATTATCATAAACCATAGCACTCACTGTCTACACCTCAACACATTACATACATATGGTTCTTGGTTATACTCAATATGGTGCTCTATTACATACAGTGGAGTCACACACTATATGGGGTTAGATTCCAAAGTCAGTATGTAAGGCAAAAATAGAATATGGTCTAAAACTCCTGAAAATCCCTTAAACTGCTCACAAAGTACAGTACACATGATTTTGAGTATGCCATTTGATATAATATCGCTGCAGGAAAGCATAATAGTCATGTACAGCATATAGTAAAAACACACAAAACAAAATTTTTATAATTTTAGGCTACAGTAATATAGTTTCTTACATAAGCATATAGTTGAATTTATTGAAGTTTACTGTCCACGTGCCATGACTATACAGCATAACTAATGTTCTGAATGATAATCAATTCGTGTTGAATATTTAAGCCTGCTCTCCCTGGAGAGCTAG